TTAGTATCCCCGAGGCTCGATCGTATACTATCTTTGCTATGACTCTCATCATAAGAGGGATTGGAAGGAAGGCGTAAAAGATCAGGTTGTTCCAGGGGATCATGAAAGCATCCCCTAGGGATCCGTCCCTGATTCCCGCTCTTGAACAGTAAGCATTGCACACCCTGTTCTGTTGGGTGGCAAATAAGTCCACATCGGGGAACTCCCAGCGATGAAAGAGATGGTCACGTGTCCGAGGATCTAGCTCCCATTCGTGAGAGATGAACATGTGCCATCTGCTTGCACATTGTCCGTACCAGCTAGATGGACTGCCATCAGCGTAATGTCTCTCGGAATGCACCAGTCCCAAATTTTCATTGAAAGTCTGGCCAAAGTCGGGGACTTTGTTCCCCCCTGTTTGTTCAGATAGAAAATGGTGGCTATGTTGTCTGAAGTTATCTGAATGACCCGATGTTGGAGAATGTCCTCAAAAGAGTGTAGGGCCTTGAATACTGCCAGCAGCTCCAGGAAGTTGATATGATTCGTGGATTCTCGACGATTCCATGTGCCTTGGGTGAAGAGGCCGGAGCATATCGCTCCCCATCCCAGAAGAGATGCATCGGTACCAAGGGTTATTGAAGGACATCGTGGCCTGAAGGGAACCCCAACAGTCAGATTGGCTGGTACCAACCACCAGAGCAGAGAATGGAGCACCGAGGATGGAATTCGAACCAATTTCGACAGTGGGTCTCTCTGTGGGTGGAACATCTTGTTGAAGAGGAGTTGTAACGGACGGAGTCGAAGTCTGGCGTGTAGCACCACAGCAACTGAGGAGGCCATATGTCCCAGGATCCTCTGGATGGACTTTGCCAGGACCGTCCCGTCTTGTTGCATTCGATGGATGTGGTGAGCAAGAATCTGTTGTCTGTCCCGAGGAAGGAAGGCTTTCCCTAACGTTGAATCCAGGTGGGCTCCAATGAAGGTAAGCGTCTGCGTCGGAAGAAGAGAAGATTTCTCAGTATTAATGCGTAGGCCCAGATCATCCAACAAGGCACAGGTTGTACGGATGGATGCGAGGAGTCCTTCCCTAGATTGGGACACTAGCAGCTAATCATCAAGATACAGGTAAATTTGTATGCCTTGGAGGTATAGGAAGGCGCAGACAGGGGCCATACATTTGGTGAACACTCTCGGAGCAGTGGCCAGTCCAAAAGGTAAAACTGTAAATTCGTAGAAATGGGGTACAACAGCAAAATGAAGGAAACGCCTATAACTCGGGTGGATTGAAATGTGGAAATAGGCGTCCTTAAAGTCTAATAAGGCGAACCAATCCTCTTTCCTTAGCAGTGGCAAAATATTTTGAAGGGTGGTCATTCGAAACTTTTTTGTCACAATGAATCGATTCAGATTACGTAAGTCCAAAATCGGATGTAGACCACCATCCCGCTTCGGGACCGTAAAGTATCTGGAATAGAATCCGTAGAGTCCGTCAGGTGGGGTTACTTGACGAATCGCTCCTTTACGAAGAAGCTGTTGTATTTCATCGAGTAGTACCGGCGAGCATGATGGAAACTGGATCGGACTCGAAGGAGGAACGTTGTCGAATTCTATCCGAGAGCCGTGCTGAATGATGAACAGTACCCACCGATCAGATGTAATGGACTCCCAAATGGGGAGTCGGCTTCGCAGCCGATCCCCAGATGAGAGAGGGGTGGGTATGGAAAGGAGCAGAGGAAAGGTTCACCAGTCCCGTCAACGCTGTCTCCTATCATCGAAATGGCGGCGGCCCTGCTGATAGCGTTGCTGGGGCTGTGGACGGCAGTACTGCTGTTGCTGTCGGTGCTGGGGCTGTTGTCTAGGCTGGTAGGACTGCCTATAAGATGGACGAGTCCATGACCACTCACACCTGGTCTGGGTCTGTATCTCCATCCTGCGTGCCGTCATGCGGAATTCATGTAGCTTCTTCAACTTGTGGTCGGTGCACGAGTGGAAAAGCTCGGACCCGTCGAAGGGCATTTCCTCTATCCAACGTTTAGTCTCCTCTGGGAAGTTACAATTTCTTAGTCAGGCATGTCTCCAGAGTGAAACGGCAATGACCAAGGCCCTCGAGTCCATGTCCACATGGTGCCTGGCTGAGCACAACTGCTGGACAGCAACCCGCATCGCCTCCTCGATGAGGACCTTGGCCAGGTCACCCTGGTGGTCCGGGAGGGTCGAGGTGACGTTGTGGAGGCGTTGCATTATGAAGTATTGATACCTCGCCAACGTCGCCTCGTAATTGGAGATACGCAGCCCCACGCCTGAGGCAGCGTAGACTCCCCTGGCCAGGGAGTCGATCTTTTGGCCCTCCTTATCCCTTGGTGCAGTGTGACCTCTCTGCCCTGGGAGGACTCCACAACCACCGAGTTCGGCTTGGGGTGGCGGAGGAGGAAGGGGATATCCTCCTCCCAAACCCGGTACATGGATTCGTACCTCCGAGGTGTGGGTTGAGGGTGAGAGGGTAAGTCCCAGGGCTGTGACATTGCTTGCCGTAAGGTGGTGATCAGCGGCAGCATGAACAATGTGGACCTGTTCCCCGCGGACGACAACGTAGGACTTGTCCGTAGTCGGTCCTGGATGCTGGACAGCATCGATGTCGAGGGACTGGACAAGCCAGGACATCAGATCCGCGAAGGAGACATGTGATTCATTCGGTGACGCAGGGCCCTGGGAGGTCACAGCAACGTCAGGGGAGACTGAATCAACCTCCGAATCGTCGGAGTCAGCACCGTAATATGGGAGAGCCGATGAGGAGGACTCCGCCGGGGAGAAGGAGCAGCTACTTCCATCCCGAGGAGGTATCGGGGATGCACGCCTCGGGCCCGAAGACTGCGTTCGGTTGCGGGACGGTGGTGAAGACCAACCCCTAGGAGCGGGACAGTACCCGATGGAGAGCGGATCGCCCCAGATGTGATAGTATGAGCGACGCCATCCCTCCGAGCGCTGCTCCATGGAGCGAGTCCTCCGGCTCCTAGGTGGGGACATCTCTACATCCGCCTCCAGAGTGGCTGTGGGCATAGGTGTGGGCGACCTAGCCCTAGGGGGTAGCCCTGAATTTCCCCATCAGAAGTTGAACCACTTTGCAGAGTTGGAAGCAGTCCAGTAGGAAGGTCAGCCACACGGTGAGGGGACCCTTGAGGGGTAACCCTCATAGCCTCCTGAAGTACCGGGTCGGGTGGCGTCGGTACGGTAAGTGCCGCCAGTACCGAGGGGGCCATTGAATCCAAGTCCTGGTGTCGAGGACGCTCCGGATCCTTCGATTTTTTTGAAGGTTTAGGAGCCTTCTCCTTCCTGGCCTTTTTATGGCTTGCCGATTTGTCAGGTTCAGCGTGCTTGCGCTTCTCGTGCTTCTTCTTGGGAGAAGCAGGTGGAACCACCATAGCAGACGCGCCTTCGTCCGAAGGGCATGCGGGTGGAGCCACTGAAGCGGAGCCAGGCTTCGGAGCAGCAATGAGCGGGTCAGACTGCATGAGAGCCCGATTCCATAGGAGCCTCCGGAGGTGATTCTCACGATTCTTCCTGGCTTGCTTAGAGAAGGCCAGGTAGTGAGAGCATTTATCAGTCCTATGCCCCTCCCGCAAGCAGAGGAGGCATAGGTCATGCGGGTCGGTCAGAGACATTTTTGAACCACACTCCATGCATCTGCGGAAAGCCGCTCACTGTGCCATCGCAAGAAAGAGAAAAAAGGGAGATAGTACAGAGGGTAAGTATATATTTTTGGGGTTTTTTTTTAAGATAGAGGATTGAAAGAAAGGTAGAACAATAGAGAAAGCTACAAGAACTATAGGAACAAGAACTAGAAGAAATACCAGGGCTATAACAACTGAAAGAACAATCGAGAAGAAGAACAGGCTAGATGAGCAACGGTCAGAGCAAGAGCAAAAGCGGCACGAGGCACAGCGAATGGTGGTCACAAAGACTGAACAAAATGGCGGACGCTCCGCTCTTTATAGGCTATGAGGGAGGGGGAGCGGAGTTTTTCCCACCAAAAACCGTTAGTTTGCAATCTTTCGGCCAAAGGCACTGCGCAGGTGCAGCACCCATATGTGTGATGCACAGAGGCCACGACGAAGAACTATGGCTACTGGCTTCCAAACATGCTGAGATATGGAAACCAAACTTTACACCCTAACTTCATGTTCTGACTTGTTTGGAAGCCATCAGCCCTAGTTTTCCCATTAAGACATAATGAAAAGCTACAGTTAATTCAACAGTTTTTTTGTTTCTTTTTACAATTCAGGCATCCTGGCTTAGTAAGCCAATACCTTAATCATCTGAATGTGACCACTACAATTTTAAAGTAAGTGTAAAATTCTAGGACTATACAAGTCAAGGTGGGGTTGGTGGAGTGTACCTAGCACAGGATTTTTCATAGGCTGCTTCTATTATAGACTGAGGGCTAATATCATGGTTTACAGCCTGACACATATTAAATTCAGGTGTATTAGGACCCTATCACAGAACCAAATCATTGAACTATGCCATTCATTCTTCAGGATTTGACATCTAAATTTCACTCTTTCTCAAAACTTCATGTAACAGGTGAATTTTTATAATTTAGAAATACCACAGTTTTATATTATAATAGGAGTGAACATCTTTCTAACGGGAACTAGTTTTTGCATTCAATTTCTTTGAGCATTAGAACTTAAATCGACCCCTGTGTTGGGGGTGAAAACATGATGGGAAGAGATGGTATTTTCTGTCAATATTGATGAGAAATGGAATATAAAAATAACAAACTAGTGATGGTAAAAAGTGGCTCATTCACCAAAGAACCTCATTAGTGTCATACAAAGGCATTCATGCACTATCTAAATTGTCTACAATGACCACAACAGTTTTACTGATATTTCTTTGGTTAATTAATTCAAGTCAATAGCAGACAGCAACAGAAATACCCACAGCTAGCACATGTGGGCAAAGCATTGGCAGAAGTCATAAATCTATTAGTGTTCTTTACTAACTAAAACATTACCTACCTCCCAGCCTGTACTCTGTGTAATAAAAAGTAAAAAAAAATCACAGAAACAAAATCAGAACTCTTCTTAAAGGCCAAAATATGACCATCAACAATAAGGCACCATTCACTTGAAATGGACTGAAGGATTTTTAGCTGCCATACATTTAAGTTAGCCTTTTCATTTCATTTAGCCCAGAAGAAATATTACAGTATGGATAAAACTCTCCTTTCCATTATTAAGCATTAAATTCAAATGTGAATTCTCCGAGCATTTGTGATTATTCAGGCACATTCATCATTCCATTATTACAACATGTTCACCATTGGCTAAAATTCAACTAATTAATTCAGTAGTTTAGTCCTAGTGAAGGAATTCAGATTTTGTGCTGAGGTGTGCAACAAAATTTGGTGTTCAAGGAATGAAAGTTAACATTAATTTTGTGTTATTACTGTTTATGTCTGTAAAACAGATGCAAATTATTTTTCATATGTGTTTGAGCTCTAGTTAAAAGTTAACTCATTTTACTGCAAGTTGTCAAAGCAATATTTACCATGTGATAGATGTACTTTAACTATATCTGTAATATGTGTACATTTAGGAAAAGGATTCACCTCAACCCAGCAGCTCTACAGAGGCCCTACACTGATTTGGTGTTTCCGATCCTTAGAATTCCATTCAAGGTTTTGTAGTGGGCTCCAAGTTGGCACCAATGAAGCATCAACTGCTTTGCTTCAAATTCCAAGTTCAAACGCTTGTAAAAAAGGAAGCTTTGTCAACAGTATTAATGTCAACCATAATTAAAGATAGAGCTGACCTAAGCAGGAAATGCTGGTTTGCAAAGGGAGGATGGAAAAGTGCTGTGGGGTACAGTGAGTGTCACATGCCCATAGAAACTTCACAGGGAATACTGGAAAGCCATTGTGGGAAGGCCATTAAGGGTGGTGAACTGGGACACAAGAGCTCTGAATGAACATGAAGTTTATAGGGATTTTAGGATAGAATACATAAACAAGGCTGTATTCCCTAAAAGAAGAAAAAAGGTGAGATATAAATGTAAAGTGTTTAAAACCCAAGCAGCACATGAGCCAAGGTTGCTTCTAACTTTTTTTTTTTTTTTTAAGGAAAATGATCTGTATGGTGCATACTCGCATGTAAAAGCAGCGAGAGAACCCCTGTTTATACTCTGGAGCCAAGGACAAATTTAATGCTTTGTAAATTGCAAAAATCCCGTCTGTTCATGATCTGATATTTAAAGAGCTCATATTTTTATTTCCAGTCCAATATATTCCCAGCCTACCAGTGGCTTTACCCCATGCACCAAGGAAAAGTTCTGTTCTCTCTGCACAAAAGCAGGATGATCCACTGCCACACAACTGGCACAATGCAGACCACCATTTGCGAAAGCAGAAAGCACCTGCAGCATCAAAAAGCAGATTCCTGCCAATTAAGTTGTTTATGGTTGTGATTTTTTTAAATGGCCCTTCAGTTGTTCTGGCTTACAACCGTAGCCAATGTTGAGGGATCAGGGAAGTTGTAAGCCAAAACAGCATCTGAAGAGCCACAAGTTAGGTACTACTGCTTTAAGGGAATGCAAACAAGAAATAGAAAATAAAATTCCCAGAGTGTCCATTCAGTGATCCAATAGTAAAAATACAAGGCTTAAAACACCTTAATTACAATGAAGTCTGTCATATATTTTGAAGTTGGCCTTCAGTTTGGGTAACAATGGATTCATAGCCCACAGAGATAACCACATTACAAGGGAGTCACCTAACCTAGATTGAGGGCTCTAGAAAAACAAGGAGTGATCTAATTGTAATCTCAGCCATCTAGAGATTCTGTTTGGATATAAAGATGGGATAGTAATGGTTTAAATATATAAATAATTAAATCTATACTTGACTGGTTTTAGAGATTCCACACTTTGTAATGCAGCCTATGGGTTCCCCTATATTAGCATGCTTTGGTGACATGAAAAACAATTAATAGTCTTTCCTGTATGTTGTATAGAGGAAGGGGAAGTTTCCCTAATATATCTTTACAATTTTCTCACTGTAGATCTTGCAAAGGATTCTAAGTCATTACCTGGTGAACTATTTTGCTGAATGCCTCCTGGAGTTTACCATGAATTGTGGCCAGTTTCTTGGCATCTCTGTTAGCTTCATGAATTGGAATAAGAATTTTGTAAACCTCGTTTACTGCTTCATACATGCCAGCCTACAAAACAGTATACATCAGATGGATCCATACCTTCTTTAAATAAACAACAAGAATACTCAGTACAACATGGGATTAAAATGCTTCAGTGATTACAGTTCTTTTTGGGATACCTTTGTTACTAAAGAGAAATAAATAACACATGATAAAAGTCAGATATATTAAAAATAACATGTAAGAGAGTTGGATGTGAAACTTGTGTGAATGTATATTTTGTCTCTGTATTCTGAGTGCTGATGGTATGTGCCAGCCTGTACATGTGAAATGTTTACTATATATTGCCCCAGGCAGCAGCTGTGCTAAGATGCCAACACGGCACGTTTGCTTCAGCTCATGCAACACAACCCTTTTACAGATTATGCCAACTGCATGGAGTGCCTATACATGCAAATATTTTTCAAGAACTTCACAGTATCTGATGTCTCATTAATTAACTCGTAACTTGTGAAGATTATGGGATGGCAGCCCCACACACCTATACACATTTTTGTATCTCACAATACTTGTAGTACTGTAGTGCAAATTCCAAAGAACAAAATGTACATATATCTCAACCTGTCTGAAGAACAGGTGTGTATGGAAAAATGTCTTTCCCCTTCAAAATGCTGACAGAAAGGGATCAGGCAATTCATACGGCCATATTTTTGCCTCTCTCCTTTCTCTACCTTTCCAGGTTCATCAAAGAATGAAATCCCTTTGCTTGCTTTGTTTCACCACTCAGACTCAGAGTGTCAGTTTACACAATGAAAACAGCCCAGCATGGGTTTTTTAAGCCACTACAATATGTGCTGGCTGGCACTTTGCATACTCAATACTGAATGAAAGACTGTTGTCTTAGCTAAACCCAGCTACTGTGGATTACACAAAGGCTAAACAATCCTACAACAGACCACTGTTTGAGCATATAATGCAAGTTTGCAAGTTGAATTCAATGGCTAGAATGACCCAGGTTATCTGAATCTTGGACAACATGCTGTTTAAAAATGTGCTATTCCCCTCCATCTCCTCTGGAGTACCAATCACATAGTCTCCTGCCCATCCTCCCTAATCAACTTCTGCCTTAGTGTGGCCTAAGAATAAGCAGGTGGCTCCTGGTGGACATAGCAGCAGGGGCTAATATATATCCAAAATGGAACCACACATTTACAGCCCTTCAAGCTGGTTCCCAGTCCAATGAAGGACTTTTTCCTCATAGTTCATAGTAAAGCCAGTCTCAGGAATTCAAAGAATTGTAATGCTGATTTAAAAGGCTCCATAGCAAATACTAGATTCACGTATTATTGTTGGATCATCACATTACAGCATGTTGGATAAACACAGAAATCATCAATGCTCTCAGGAGCACAAGTATGTGTGGTCTGATCTACAAACACCTACATTTGGTGGTCCTTCAACAGGTATGTGTCCATTTCACTCACTGCAGGGGAAACAATGTATGTCATACCTCTGAATTGTGAGCCCACTGTTTTCTAACATGTAGAGACTATATAAAATCATAATGGATTGCTTAACCAAATACATGCATTAAACTCTTCTACCATGGAGAAAGAGGCTGCGGCTTGCTCCAGCAATCCAACCAGACCTGCTTCCGTAAAATACTTTCCAGAGCATATCCCTTCTTCATCTGGTGACACAACATCATCAGAAACTGCAGATTCTTCTAAAACATTTGAGGAGATGTTCTGCAGCAGTGGGAGAGAAAGGATTATTTTCAGCAGCAGTAAGGTCCACTTCCTAAGCACAGACCAAACAACTAAAACTTCTCTCTAAAATCTGTGCTTATGCTATATTCTCTGTTACAGGGCATGAAACCAAAGCAGCTAACATTTTGCTAAGGCTCTAATCTGATGGATCGTGTCAAACTGCAATTACATTTTAAAACAATCGGATCATTTGCAGAGCTAAGCAAAGGATATGTTTTTATAGAATGGGGCACCAGTAAAAATGTAAAAACGTCTGTTAAGGGGGTCCCACCACAGAATACCTAGAATGAGAACATTTTATTCTGCAGAATTGCCATAGGACCAAGCTGCAGTGCAGTTGGTGTCGCTGAGGCTTTTTCTTTACTTCAGTGTCAATACTTCTTCCTGTTTCCCTCTGAAATTCCACACACACTTCTGAGAGTATTTTTTAAAATCTCTATTGATCCTGCAAGGGGTGGAATTTTATACTCTGGTCCTTAAATTAATACTCTCTCTTCACCATGCAACAATATTTGGGTTCTGTTAACATACTGCACCCACTCAAGTCTTGTCAATCCAGACTTCATACAACTTGCCATATCCCCTGTCAAGAGTGATTCTATGATTTTTTGGGGGGCTTCAGACTTTCACCACACCCTTGTATCAGCCATTCTGGCACTAGGACCAAGAGCTTTCCCGATGACATGGCAACAAGGGCAGTGCAGCCAATCCACATTAATTTTCTCTGCACTCTTTGATAGTGTGGTACCACTTCACAGTGCTGAGGCACAAACAACTACTCATTTTAACCAAATGCAGGCACCCTCTTTGATCCCAATGATTTGTTTTAACAAAACAAGTCTAACCAGACTTCAAGAGGGAGTAGTTAGCACAATATTTATTTATTTGACTATACAGCAAAATAATTTGAAATATGGGTTTTCACTTAGTTCGGGCAGCTGTAGCATATTCTGTTTTTGGGAAACCTTGGTAGTAAAATCCTTCTTATGTTCTGACTTGAAATGTATTGTACCAACAGTATGAGTAGAAAAGTACAATTATATTACATGAATTCATGCCCAAAAATGCCTCCCGCAGATAATCTCTTACTGTGCAGTGCTAGCTGCACAGTGCATTTCTGCCACTGGCAATGGCTAGGCCCTGTATCAGGGTGATCTGTGGGGCAGATGTCAGGGTCTTTTGACTCACTGGATGCAAAACTGTACAGATCTTGCTTGGCACCCCAGGATCCAGCCCCTCTGATGCATCAGTCTGGGGCTAGCATCACCAAATCCCCCCATGACTATCAATGGCAAAGTATTGGTTTTTTTTTTTTTTTTTAGAAACCCAAATTGCTGGGGAAAACCACAAAGAACAACTACCCCTCACTTCTGCTCGAGCTGGTACAAACTGGCAGGCTGTGATCCTAACAGGTCCCTCTCACTGTTGCCACCTCTGCTTAGGATTTGTCTGTTAATATGCATCGTATTATATTTTCTGGGAATTTACATCATCCAGTTGTGCAGTTTTGTCAGTAAACTGTATTACCTGAAATGTAACACATCCTACAGGGAGATATTTTCGATCTTCAAGCATGCTTAAGTATTCAGCAACAAGGGCTGCAGAATGGACCAAACACTGCGCAGATTCTGCATGGTTGCTCCTCTCAGAGTGCTTCCCAGCCATGTTCTGTAGCCAAGTAAGTCGCAGGTCTGGAGAGTTCTGGTAGCCCTTTGCAATTCTAATTTTCAAAAACCCAGAAGACACTAATCAATGCATCTTTATTTGCTTACCTTTCTGCAGAAAGCAACAAGTTCAGTAAAACTCTACCTGTACATCAAGTCAATTAGCATCTCTGGATCTTCTTGGTGCTCTTTCATTTTAACTGTATCAGAAAGGATCATATGGAGGTTGAACACAAGATCTTGGACCTTAAATACAAAAAAAGGAGGTGGGATCTGAAGCAAAGATTCTATGCAAAACAAGCATTTTTCTGTTACTTTGGAATTGATAGGAAATGAAATAAAAAATCCATTCACCATTGCATATATTACAAATAAAGTCCACAAGGGAACAGTACCTTTTCCTTTGCCACATTTAATTTTACATTTGTCAACCAGTCAATATTTGTTAATTGAATATTAATTCATCCATTGTCCAAATTTTGATTGCATTATTAGACTGGATGAACAGTTTCTAGGGAATCTTACATCAGATTTCAACTCATTTGTACAACTCGATACTTAGCCTAGTCAAGTTTGAAAATTCAACTCAATGTTTATTTTTATTTGACACATTTTATATCACCCTTCATCATTTTGGGGCTTTATAGGCCACAAAGCAAATATAACCGCCTACAAAAACAATAAATCAAATTATATCAGAACCAAATTAAAAACGCAATAAAAATATAAAATGTTTAGTTCACTGAAATATTTTAAAACCTTTAAACTGCCTTTGAATTTCATTTTTATATCCAAATACAAACTTGGGAAAGTAAATCTTATTTTAGTCTCAACAGCCTGAACTGATATCTGTAATTTTAGTCCACATATTTATGTACCATTTCATGGGTCAATATCCTGGGACTGGAGCCCGTAGGCACAGAAAACTTACTCCTATTGAACCTAAAGGGAAAATAGCTAAATTTAACTGAGAAATGCTATAGCAGATCTCAAGGAAATGAACTAGCAACCATTTTTCATGCCAAGTAATATTCCTTCTAACCTGATCAGGGAATGTTGTCTCCCTTAATTCCAGGTCCTCTTCAGCATAGGTTAAAATGGTCTTCAGAGAACGTCTCAAAAACTCCTCATTAAAATTCTGAGATGTTCCCACTAGGGATGAGAGTGACATGGTCACCTGCATTTTCACTCTGGCAAAGTTCTGAAACACAATAATTGTTACTGAGGCAATTATTATTATTATTATTATTATTATTATTATTATAACATTTCTATGCCGCCCCTTGCCGAAACCTCGAGGCGGCTTACAACATGATAAAATACATTGAAATACAATAGTACATAATAAATTACCATTAAATACAAAAATACAAAAAATACATTGATTTACAAATATAAAATTAAAATTATCAGTATAAAATAAAAATATAGGAGGAGAAAGAGAAGGAAGAAGAAGTTGCCCTGGCCAGATCATATGTTTTAACAATTGAAATGATGTTTAAATAAAAAGGTCTTTACCTGGCGCCGAAAAACCAGTAACGACGGTGCCAGGCGGACCTCTTTGGGGAGTGAATTCCATAGGTTGGGCGCCACCGCAGAGAAAGCCCTCCTCCGGGTACTTACTCTCCTAATTTCTTTCATGGAGGGTTCCCGGAGAAGGGACTCTCCCGCAGATCCCAAAGGGCGGTCGGGCATATACGGACGTAAGCGCTCGTTCAGGTAGCCAGGACCCCTTTGCAGTGATATAGCTCTCAACACTAGCTTAATAAATACCACAGCCCCGAGGCAGAAAAAACATCTGTCTTCTTTGAGATCAGGTCAGAAGACCTCCTTTTATTTCACAAATTCTGTCTCTCTATGGTTGATCTGTGGCTGAATGGCTAACTACAGATTAGCGTGGTCTTATTTCAAGAGTGCACAGGATTACACCCTCTGAATGTGAAGTACATGGCAAGTTGTTTGGTCTGTGTAAGACTCTCTCCATTAAGAACAGTTTTCCCAGGTCCCACTTTCACTACAATTCAGACACGTACCGTGTTTCTAGCAATGATATACTTACATTCCCAATCTCAAAATTTTGCCTCATAAGGAGGTACAGAGAGGCACTGGCATGTGAGCGTATGGTGCTAATACTACTGCTACAGTGGCGGAGAAGTCGAAGGCATAAGTCGGCACACTGCTCTGTCTCCTCTTCAAACAGAAGTTCAGGGAACTAGAATAGCAACCCAAGAGACAAGTCATTCAACAGAAGTGGCTGAGCCAACAAAGCACCCCAAATGTCAAGTTGCTGTTATATTATTTGCACCAAGGGAATTATCTACTCGAGTTTCTCATTTGTATAGTTGTCCATCCACTCCAGTAAAACAAGTCCCCAGTTGCAGTAAAATTGTGGAAGGGAAAACTCTTACACAACAAAATAGCTAAATATTGGAAGTTCTAATGTAAAATACGTCTGAAATATTTATAAGAAAAAAGTTCAAAGATCAAATGGAGCTTCTCCCTAAAAGCACTCACCTTTGAAACCAAGGCCCTCTGAGTTGCAAAACAGTGTTGTAAATAAAGAGCACTTTGATTGCAGGCCATGCTATGTAAAAGAGCCTTCAGCACTCCACCAAGAATACTTTCTTTGGATTCGGTCACAGAGACTGTCTGTAACCAAAGATAACCAAGTGTAAGAGAAAGAGAAAAGAAGTTATCTTTAGAGTTGTCAAGGGTGAAAGTATCCTCAAAAGAAAGCACTGCACATGTTTACAGTGGAGCACTGATAATCATTTCTATGACATCAGCCGTCCAGGGGGGAGAGGAGTGAAGCAAATCTGCAAAGAAGTATAGCCATTAGGAAAAACACTTAGCATATTCAGGGTAACAGAACTAGCCTGTTTTTCCTTGTATCTTCTTTGCCATGAGGTCCAAAATTGTAGCAGTTTTGAAGCAAGCACACACGCACGCATACACACTCACACTTGTCTCCAAAAAGCCAACAATGAAAAAGCTTAGCAGATTACAAACTATCAAAGAAGTTAGCAATTATACTTCACAGAGACAAAAAATATAAATATAAATGGTTGAGGTTGCAATCCTATCACACTTAATTCAGAATACTCCCCAGTGAACTGAACAGATCTTAGATCTGGGAACGTATGCATAGGTTTGGCCTGCAGAAAGGATTGCGATTACTATTATTGCTGCAGCACCAGCAACTACTACTACCTTCCTAAGGTGGCCTTTCAATCAACCTGTTACAAACAATGCAACACATAACCTAGCAAAAAGAGATGAAATCACATCTGCTTTACTTGTAGTCTTTGCCCTAGCCATTCCCACCTTCCCTATGTGACTCTATAAAGCAGATGAGCTGAGGTGACTGAATGTCTAGAAAGCATCAGCAGAAATCCCAATACAAAAGAGCAATGATCAGCTTTACATTGAACAACCTGTACTGCAGCCATAGCCAACCAAGAATTCCCTGCAGGCAAACAAGAAGACACTTGGTTTCTGTGCTTGCCATGAAAGGAGGAGAGCCTCTTTTCCTGTGACCAGCAAGACATACAGAGGGTCAACAGAAGAGAAACTCTAACCTGTCCAGATCCTGGAAGCTTGCATTTCTGTGTGAGCTTTGGAGAAAGAGGCTTCTCTTCTGTTGAGGCCCAGTGACAGCACTTAGTTCCATGGCCAACATGAAAATGCAGACTTCTAGCCTCATAAACTAGTTAATCTATCTCACAAGTTAGTAACTTCTTTTGGTTTACTTCAAGGCTGGCTATGATGGCAATCATTTTAGAACATGCTTTTACAGGGTCATTGCTAGTACTGCAAAGCATCAGCTCTTTCTATAGACATCTTTATCCCATTCAGTTCATTCAGCATTCTGTAAAATGTCCCTTAGCATCCTCACCTGGACTATTATCTCTAAAGTATCCAAAATAATCAGATTTGCTTCTGTTGTCAAATTGCCATCAATAAGTGCCTCGTGTTCTATTTCTGCTCGTGATCTGGTAAAAGGAAAGAATACATTAAATATCATTTTTATTCAAAGAAGCAAAAAAAGCAAAGTTCATCTTAGTGAAACTGTGAAAATATACTAAAAGAAATAATCAAATTGTATGTATTGTTTTGTTTGTTTATATCATGCTTGCAAGCCGAATGTCACTACTTCCGTTGCATTCACATGTAGGTTTTGGGTTTGGGATTCTAAAGCAAAGCTGTACTGTGTGTGCAGAAGGTTCCAGATTAAATCCATTCCCTAGCATCTATTAGACCTCTGCCTGAGACAGGCAGGTTGCTTACCTGTAACTGTCGTTCTTCGAGTGGTCATCCGTGCATTCACACATATATGGGGACTCCGCCAGCATAGATGGAAAGCGTTCCTCCCATTCTCCTCCATGTAAACATAAGGAGAAGAGGAATCCCATATATCTGTGATGCATGGAGACCCCGACAAAGAAACTCTACTGTCAAAGTAGATAATACCAGTCTAGATGTACCAATGGTATGACTCAGTTAAAGCACCTTCACTAACATAAAAAAATTACTTCTGAAATAGGGTTAAAATAGAGGAAATAAAAGAAAGAACAGACAGAATCAGAAAAAAGAACTGATTACAGTTCTCAGTAAATCATAGGTAACTTAATGAGACAATTAGAGTAAAACTGCCAAAGGAGAAGCTCAGTAACTTTTGCTGGAATTTGGATACATACAGTATGCAACTGAACCATAATTAGAAATAAACACACATCTACTTGATTGGAATGTAATCAGAAACTTGGAGGGAGAAATGAACATGGATATCATGGTTCAATCATGTCTTTACTTGCTGCACTTTCTCAGTATGCATGTACAGAATTGTCATCTGCTACTGTCTAGAAGGTTGCTTGAAAGACAATTACAGGTTAAAGTGGTCGTATTTCCTGAGCAGTGGGACAAACCACTTCTGGAACTGACTTTCCAAAATGTGCAATGGGCTCTGCCATTTAAAGAAAAGAAAAACCAAAACACTAATGCTAAACAAGTAAATTGCCTTATACTGAATCAAACCAATACGACTGAAGGGTCTGTTCTAATTATTAGCAGTTCTGCAAAGTTCTAGGCAGAGATCATTCCCAATCCAAGTCCTGCTACCTGCAATCCTTTCAAACCAAACATGCCAGAAATCAAACATGGGATTTTCTCATAGAAAAGGTACATGCTTGACTAGTGAGCATGCCCAACTGTGTACAACTGAAAGTGTCCTTTGAATTCTAGCAACAATAATTTGGATTTATTCTCCTTTCCATAGGCTTGTGGCTAGCTCGTTTTCGTTTCCTCGCTTAGCCAAATAATGCCTAACATCTCTTCATTAAGACTGCACAGCATGCAGTCAACTAGATATTAAAACAACAAGGTATGTATCCAAGACACTTCAGCTGAGTAAAATCAGGCCTATGCTGGAGAAATTATTTCTTCAGACTCACATCAATGAAAGTAGCATATTATACTCTGTGATGTGAACACAGGGTGGTGCTATAGGAATGTACTTCTAAGGGTTGCTAATATGACTGGGTCGGTGCAAAACATCCCTTTTCCACTTTGCTGTGCTTACACTACAGGTACTTCCTAAAAAGCTGGTAATGATCTCTCATGGATAGTAGCAGTACATGTGCTACATTTTCTCTCAATTTGGGTCAGGCAAAATGCATGTCTCACAACATGCCCACTATATTGAAGCCCTCCAAACAAAATGACACCAGATTGACCTTCCCTCTGGGCGTGGCTGATGTTGCACCAGATACACAGGCAGGCACAATTGTGTGAGGGAGACATCTCTCCCTTCTCCCACCCAGGTCTTGGTAATACATGCCAGGTGGGTCCCCTCATCCATGATCAAGTTATGTATGAGAGAGATTTTATTACAGGCCAAAATGGCGTTTAACAGTAACACCGTCAGGCCCGGGGGCCAGCTGATATTGCGACCAGGAACTTTCTGGTTGGGGGAATAACCAGAAGAGGGGACGTGCATCAAACATCAGTCCCTCCTTCTCCTATGCTGGCCTGTTAGGCCCCCAACGCCATACCATCGCCTGCCCAACACCACCACAATGGCGGCACCCGGGCACTCCCCAGGTAAATCCATTCCAAAATTAAAACCAGATTATAAAACATAGCTGCAAGGGAAAAAAATTGGACAGAATCCCTGGCCTGGCCTGGCCCCTCTTGGCCCCAAACGGTGATGCCCTTTGGCCATTGTCTTTCTGCTGCTGGCTCAAGGCTGCTGGCCCTGGCTGCAGCCGGCAAGAAGAGGGCTCTGGCATGGCATGCCCCAATCAGTTCCTGCCTGCCCTGTTCAAGACAACACACCTGCCACCTGTGCAGGGGGTGGGGTAGGGAGGGCGATAAAGGTGGCTCCCACAGAGGCCTTGGTGGCACGGAGAGAGCAGAGGCAGCGTGTGGTTCCATGGCGCGTCCCACCAGCAGCAGCGGCAATTGGCGATGACAAGGTTGGTAGGGCCAGCTGCTCCACAGTGGTCTCGGGTGTATGCTGGGCTGGAGGCAAGTCCCCAGCCTGGTGCAAGAATAGGGGAACTCTGGATGTGACTGATCACTCCATCCATTGCTATGAGATCTGGGGAATGGGGATGAGTGACAGGTTGAATACTAGAAGCTGGGACTTCATGAGGGCCAATTTTGGTCAAGTGAAGGCCAGACTGGGGAAAGTCTCCTGGGAGAGGGTACTGAAAGGCAAGAGAGTTCAGGAGGGGTTGATGACACTCAAGGTGGCAAGTAAGGTGGGGAGGTGAAGGAGAGTGTCATCATGGATGTGAAAGGAGGTGGTAAGAGGGATTAGATGTAAGAGGAACCTCCATAGGAAATGGGCACTGGGGTGGACGTTACAAAGGCACTGGGCCTTGACAGGTTACACTGGAGAGTATTTTGCAAGTTGGCAGGGGTTCTCTCATGCTTGTTGGCCTCCATTTTTGAGGACTTGTGGAGAATGAGTGAAGTTCCAGAGGACTGGAGGGTGGCATCAGTAGTTTCAACTTTCAAAAAGGGTAGTAGAGCAATCATGGGGAATTACAGACTGGTCTGCCTTACATCCATTGTAGGAAAGACAATAGCAAAAGATCTAGTAACCCTAGATAGGGAAGGGAAGTTGGTGGCCACACAACACAGCTTCCACAAAAAGAGGTCCTGCCAGACAAACCTTGTGGAATTCTATGACAAGGTTTCAAGGTGGCTAGACAGAGGGAACGTGGTGGATGTGGTTTACCTGGATTTCAGCAAGGCCTTTGACAAAGTGCCCCATGATGTCCTGGTTGAGAAATTGAGGAGTTTTGGGACAGAACAATGCACTGTCCAATGGATCAGGGCATGGTTGGCAGACAGAGAGCAGAGAGTAACTATTAATGGGGAATCATCGGGATGGCGGCCAGTGACAAGCGGGTCCCCCAGGGCTCTGACCTGGGACTGATCCTGTTCAGTTTTTTAATCAATGACCTGGAAGAAGGGGTAACCAATCTACTGGTCAAATATGTAGATGATAGTAAAATGGATAGTAAAATAACGTGATCTCTCATTTCTGGAGGGTTATGCAGCGCAGGAAAAAAGCAAGTGACTATAGACAGATTTTTCACCAAAACTGACCCTGCAGCTAAGAGATAAAGAAGAGAGGAAACCCTTGAAAGAGATCTCCCCAATGTCCTTATGGAGGGGGACTCTCCCTCAAAATGATAACCTCCCCACAACCTAGGTTAGTGTTCTCCACTGTACTGTACTGTACTGTAGGGTACTTTGTCACTTTGTTGTTCTTTGTCACTTTGTTTCAATTTTTTCTGATTTAAAAAAAATAGTTAAAGAACGGATTAACCTTATTTACATTGAATCTTATGGGGAAATTTGACTTGGCTCGCGACTAAAAACTGGCTCACAACCACATTCAGAGGGGCCAGAACAGATTAAACTTATTTACATTGAATCTTATGGGGAAATTTGACTTGGGTCACAACCAATTTGGGTCACAACCAGAGTCGTGGAATGGATTAAGTTCGTGAGCCAAGGTACCACTGTACTTCCTGACAGTTAGGATCCCAAGGGTATGGAATGGGCTTCCACACGAGGTGGCTAAAGCCCAATCGGTGAGGGTATTCAAGGACAGGCTGCACATGCCCATGGTAGGCATGTCATCAACAGAGCCGGCTGGAACCAGGGGTCAGACTAGATGGCCTGGGAAGCCCCTTCTGACTCGCTCTGTTTCTATGTTACTATTTGCCTTGGAATCAGCTCCACAGATAGCTGGCAAAGCTTCCTAAAATTCAAGACAGACTATTGGTTCATCTAACCCAGCCTTCATAAGCTGGCAACCTCCAGAGATCTCCTCCCAGAATTCTTGATAAGTAGTCATGCTTTACTGGGGATGATGAGAGCAGAAGCCCTAAACATCAGGAGGGACACCATGTGAGAGAAGGCTAGGCTAAATGGACAAATGGTCTGGGTCAAATTATTAGGTAGTTTCTTTTGCTGTCTATGGAAGTGACTCCTTTTCAGACAGGAATTTTCCCACCCACATCCATAGAGGCTAGAAATTGATCCTGTATCTTTCTGCAAGCAAATATACATTGCATTTCTCTGTGGGATTTGCAAAGACTGTGCCAGTTAAAGAAGAAACTGGCAAGGATTGATGCATTGGAATGGTAGAGAGGGAATGCTAGACCAGCACTGGTAGAATCACCTCTATGGCTAAAATATTTACTATAAGGAGACTGGCCCCATGTTCGAAATGTGCCAGATACCATGCAAATGTGCATACAGCAGTAAGTGCAAAGGCTTCAACAAAAGAGTGCCTTAGGACTCAATCCTATGGTCCCTAGACAGATCATCCCAGTTCATCTAGCACGAGATACAGGGCAGGAGGATGGGGAGGTGAAGATCACCTCTACCACTCTGTCTGCTCTGAAGAGGATGGTAAGTCTCCAAATTGAAGGGATAATGGGAATCATAATAGGATTGTGTCCTTAAACTTCTTAAAGGCAGCTCACTGATCTCTGGATTATTTCTGTCTCCAGTTTCTATGGCATGGGCCTTTCTTGCATTTAAGGTACTTTTATGAATCTTCTCCAGTATCCATGCCCTTATCTCCATACTCTCCAGCCAGAGGCTGAGCTCTAAAGAGCTCAGTTTGGCCTGGGTGGAGGTGGCTGTGTGGCTCCAGATGAGTCTTGTTCCACCTGGGTTGAGCTTTTGGGAAAAGGATCCCTCTCCAAGTGGTTTCAGTCCTTGTAGGGTGAAACCTCTAAGAGATACAGCAGAAGCTCTGGCTCTTTTCCTTCCATGTAAGAGAACATGATGCACTTCTGAATTCTAGAGCTTAATTTATTTCGGGTCAGTCAAAGCTAACCAGGACAGAATAGAACTGGGGAAGGCTCTTTAGGTAGCTACCTGAAACCTCAGTCAACACGGCCCTGATTAGCAGAGCAGGTGCGAAGAACAGTGTGCACAAGGATACCTCCCCCTGCTATAGGAAAATGACAGAATTATTTTGTCATAGGGCAGTGCTTGTGAGTTTCATGAATGATGCCACTGGATTATCAGGAAACAAGTAGCATGACTACAATATTCATAGCATACTGACAGACATGCTTCTCATTACAGAACCACTCCTAACATCCTGTGGCAGGATATACACCATCTTGCAATCTACAGCCAAGTCATTCTGCAAAGCATTTCAGTTTACCACAAATCTGGACACACAACAGCTTTTCTGAAAGCAACAAGCATGCCAAGCAAAGTTAAAACTGTGATTCCTACACCTGATTAACTCCCACCAGCACAAAACAAAGTCAAATTCTACTTGAACAGCAAAAATTGCAGTTGCACGCAGGCATTCAAAGCTTCTGCCGAGCATGAAAAGCCAGAATTGCAATGACAGAGTATGCAAAAATACAAAGCGGCAACCAAAATTAAACAAAACACAGCAGTATATCAATGCTACAATACCTGGTTGGTTTGTGGCTTCTAAAAACACGGCACATGTGGAAAAATAATCAAAGTGATGGATTAGGGTAGGACAGATGCAAGCTTTGAGTACTCCAGAATGCTCTAATGGGTAAGCGACCAGAAGCACGTACATTGTCTGCAACGGAATCTAATGGCTCCTGGTAATTTAAAGCATGCTATAGTGGCTGCATTAGTGCACCCTATATTTGTCTATTCAGACCCATGAACCACTAGTTTTAAGGACTCTTACTCCTAGGCAAGTGGCCTCCTTTTGTTTCAAACAGAGGTATACGAGATCAACCCTGCGAAAGCTATTATGAGATTAGCCCTTGCCCATATAAGGACCTACCAAACTTCAAGAGGCTAGCCTCTCTATATGCCAAATCATCATTCCAAAGATAATATATTAGAGTAAGGTAGCATTACTTGTCAAGTTTTTCTGTGTTCTGCCGCCAATGAGTCATATCCTTTCTCCATCTTAGGTTCTCTTGACTTCCAAATGCACTCCCAGAAGGACTTCTTTCTGCCAGGCAATTTTTTTTTAAATAAAAAGGCTTTTAATGTTCATTTCTCAGACAGTCGAAGGTAAAAACAGGTATCATGACTACACATCACTGCACACAAGGAATAGTTAAGCTCAGTGGGATATTAGATGAGTGCCATACTTCAAAATTAATATTCATCAATGCTAACCCTTCCTTAAAAACTGTAAAAAGCTATATTTATGTGTTTCAAAGCTAAAGAGGAGATCTACACTATTTTCCAGTCTCTTGTTAAAATCATTGATATTCATACCCTCAGGATTAGCTCAGTAATAAGCTTTTATGCTTTAGGTATGGGGTTTTGCTTTAGATCGCTGTAGACAAACATTTTTGCAAGAGAAGAGATCCACGAAAATACTGGAAAGCACCCTTGGCCCCGTTCTTTTGTCAGAAACATCCCCTGACATCCAGATGTTCATATGGACATTTGTAGGGAAGAAGCCTCATGTGGAGTCTTCCTTTCTAAAGACATTGTGTCAACATGTGACGGTTTAGAGAGCATGGCTGACAACATAGCCCACCTGTTCTTTAATGCATGCAGCAGTGCCTGCTCCAGATTTCTAAGGGCCTTTAGGCAAGTCTCCATCAAGAGCGCCCCCCCCCCCAAACTGTCTGGGTTCATTTGTCATGACAACCCACTTTCAAGGTTGTACATATCACTGAAATGTTGTTTGGGCCAGAACAGAAGTCAGGTGAACAAACAGGCTGCAGTGGTGAAGAATAGGAATGTTCCTGGGAGCTCTTGTTAGTGAGGCCCTGCTAAGGTGTGGGCTCATCTAGGCATCCAACCATGTCTACCCCTGGTGCGGAGCTTTCCTTCATATGGATGATGCATAAAGGGAGCTTCTTGTTCAGCTATCAAGGACGACAGTCAACTTACCCAGCTGGCCCCGGCTTCGCCGTACCATTTCTTGCCTTGCTCCAATGCTTCCCAGTATTGCTTCTTCAAGCTTTGCTCTCATATCTTTTGACTTCTTAAATGTCAGACTGTTCATTCTTTCAAACACTTTCTTACCCTGAATGGTTTACAAAATAAGAGCAAGAATCAAGTCTTTAAAAGCAAATAAGCAAGCAAGTCTTGAAGGCCCATGAAGCATCAGCACTTTATGCAGGAGAAGCCACAAAATAGATTTCATTTCAGTGAAATCTATTTTGTCTTCTACACGGTTAAAGAGATCATAAGATTTCAGGGGCATGTTTACACTACAGGTTATTTAGATAATTTCAGGAAAACAGAAGGTGTGCTATCAGCAGAGGCCTGTATGGATGGCCTGAAAAACAGGAAAGCTTCCAGCTGTTCAGAAACAGGAAAGTAAAACGGTTTGTAATTTAGTTTGATAAAGACATGAAGCATTTTCCCTAATCAGGTGCTCTCTAGATGTTATAGATGGCAATGTTCATCATTGTCAGCTGTTGCTTGCTAAAAGGAACAGTAGCAGTTCCAGTTCAACACACGCATGGAAGGCACCAGGTTGGAGAAAGTGACATAAAATGGTGGTAAAAATAATGGGCACTATCTGATGCTGTCCACACAACAGTAGAACTCACCACTAGTACAACAGGAAGCCGACTAATCCTGCAGGAAGTGAAAAGGAGTCAAATTACACCAGTGTGGCAGGGTGTTAGAGTGAGAGAAAGGGGGCATGGGAGATGTTCCTGTCCCCACTTGACCATGAAGCTCATTAACTCTCAGCTTAAACCTACTCCACAGGGCTGCTATTGTGAGGGGGAAAAATGGAGGGGAGAACTTTGTAATCTATCTTGTGTTCCTGGCTAGAAGAAGGACAGTGCAGAAATGCAACGTAATAATAAAACTCATTTCTGGGGTTCCTGTCACAAATGTTAGTTCCTGTTGCGTTTGCAGTGGGCTCTGCTGTCACATAAGGGAACAATGTTAGAGGTCTCACTTTCAATCGAGTGCTTATTTATATTTATTTGTTTACAGCACCTATGGGCAGTGTGAACAACCATTTCACGTCGCTGAGGGAAAAAACCCCAAACACCTTCCTGTCACTATCTAGCTACTACTATACCTTGTATTCAAAGCAGGAAACACAGAGATAGAGCAAGTCCAACAAGCGGTTTAGCTGCAGCACAGAGAGGTCTGTGAACCATTTTTGCAGGACGCTTTCGTCGGCATTCTTCAGAACCCACAAGAGACAGATCAAAAGGCTCCGGCTTGACTCAGCTGAAAATGAGTGCTGCCTGTTGGTCTGAACACAAAGGAAGAAAGCATTGAAATCGTAACTGCCACTGTCAAGTTTGACCCCCACAGACTTGTCTGACCAAACATAACTATGCTTATGTCCCAAATTTGACCCCCAAGGGGTTGCCTGACCAAACACAACTATGCTTATGTTCCACTGGAGGGTATGATAGGAGTTTCCAGTTGGCCAACTATTCGCTTAAAACGTGTGGGCACTGTCTTCCAACATGTTTCGAAGTAGGGAAGATCTTGAATTTCAACCAACCATAAAGAGTATTATTATGGCACTAGCTCCTAAGAACAAAAATAATCTTGTTCCACCACCATCTTTTTGTCACCTCCCACTCTCTTTCTTCCATGATGCTTCCAAGAAAGAATGGTGGCACCAGTTCATGATTATGGTAGCTGCCCATTCTTGCTGCCACACAAACACAGGGGCTGTATATACTGTATAAATGTTCACCAATGCTCTAAAGAACACTTTGTTTAGTACCGATGAGGTGAGGAGAAAACTGCTGGGCCGGGTAAGCTGAGGGACAGAGGTTCCTGCAATGGCCATAGCAACTGTCTGGCTTATCATGTTCCCGCCATCACCCTCATAGTCCTCTAATGCTGTGCAACTTGGTCTTCCACGCTGATTGTGACTTTCTGTGAAAAGACATGGCAGTCTTAGTGAAATACCATTGCGAGAGATCATCTTCCCCATGCTCCTTATTGCAATACCTATTAACATAGTGACTAAGTAGTAAAAGTACCCTCTGCATTAGAATGCAAGCAAGCAAACTTTGTGTGCAGCCATATTTATAAGGATGCAAATTTAATGTTACCTCTGTTCTCTTAGTTTAGGATATCAGCAATACAAAGTGTTTCTCAATATAAATGTCTGAAACTGCCTCATACTGGGTCAAAGTTCTACTGGCCTGCCAAATCCAACACCACCTTATTTATTAGTTTCATATGCCTTTTTTTCCAATGAACTCAAGGCGGCTTACAGTATTCTCCTCCTGCTGCTCTCAATATTATCCCCACAATAACAACCCTGTGAGGCAGGTTGGGCTGAGAGTCTGAGACAAAGTCACTCAGTGACTCCCTGGCTGAGTGGTGACTAGAACCCAGATTGTCTGAGTTTCACGCTGGCTCTTATATACATGATATATTTCATATATGATTCTCATCCAGAGCCAATATCAGAGGTCAGACTCATTGGGCACTTATCAGGCCCAGACGCCAGCAGGCCTCTGGCCCTGCTGCTCTTCCCAGTTCATTTTCTGAACTGTCACATTCCTGCTGTGGATCACAGTTCATTTTCTCTTCCCAAGGGAAGGATGCCAACATTAACAACATCCTCTACCAGCTTCATTGGCTTCCAACTGAAGTCTGGGCCCAATTTAAGGTGCTGGTGTTAACCTATAAAGCCCTAAATGGCTTGGGACCATTCTCCTTCCCTATGAGCCCTTGCATCCCTTAAGATCTGCAGGAGAGGCTCTGCTCCGGGAACCCTGTCTGAAAGAGGTAAAGATGGTCTCTACCCAGAGGAGGGCCTTTTCTGTGGTGGTGCCCAGACTATGGAATGCACTCCTTACAGAGGGTCACCTGGCGCCAACTTTCTATTATTTTTGGCACCAGGTGAAAACCATTTTATTTGCCCACCATTTTAAGAACTAGGAATTTTAATCTGGTTTTTAACTATCCACAGTCACATTTTCATTTTGTTTTTGACTTTGTTTTCATTGGTGATATGTTGCTGTTGGTTTTATGTATATTCTTAATTATTCTTAATTATTGTTTTGATTATAGATTGCTTGTTTTGATTTCTGTAAGCTGTCCTGAGATGCATATAGGATGGGGCATAAATAGTTTAAATAAATAAATAAATATTCCAGCTGTTCTTCTCGCCCATCCCACCAGACCAGAACAGGCTTTGGGACTAAAAGGCTTTATTACACTACAGTTGACCAGCTAGGGTGGCTTTGTAGCACAGAAGAAGAGTCTGCAAAAATCAGTAACAAAATAAACAAGCAAAGCTTAAAAATACTGGCCATTAGGCAAATGTGCTTAATGATGGCAAGTTAATTCCGAACTGAATCCCTCTTCACCCTGCCAAACTGAAAAGAGCAAGCCACACCGTCAAGGCGGATCCTCCTGTTTAGGCTTCAATTACTTGGAGCATCTGACACTTCTCAACTGGTCTGTCCTCTTTACCTGATGCCATATCCTTGGATTAACGTTAGGTATGCCCTCCTCCACAAAACAAGATCACAATGCTCTCCCACAGCATTTGAAACCATCTGATTCTCAGCACTTGCTTGGCTAACCTCTGGGTCCACTGGCCTTGGAGTTTCAGCTGTAGATTCTGATCCCTGAATCTATTTAACCTTTGAAGACCCTTTTATAGGAGGAGTGGGGCCAATCCCTACACACAAGAACAAGGGGAGGAGGAGATGATTCTACTTGCCTTAGTCTCTTTCTGGGAAATAGTGACAGTGACATTAAAGTAGGTATGCTCAGATAGACGAGTCCCACTGAAGTCATCTCACCCAAGTATGGTGCCAACACTGCTCACACACAGGCGGTTTACACAGCTAGACATGCTTAGCTTCAGAAACAGAACTATACCTTGGTTTCTCATATTATTGAACTATTAATATGGGCAAGTCCTGGATGTTAAGAAGGACAGCCAAATCCACTCGATCTTTATCAGGTATAAGCACCACTTCAGACTAAATAAATGACTGTTGTGCTAGAAAGAGTTCAACCCATGGCAAGAAAGATATCTGCACACATCATGGGCCTGTCCTGTGCAACACTGATGCAAAATTTCATGAGTAATTTAGAATCTCAAAGTCAAACAGGCATTTTAAGTTACAATCCTATGCATGTTTAGATGGAAAAAAAGTGCTACATCTCCCAGCATTCACTTAGCTCACAGTAAGTTAGTGATTGATTTGCCGTTCTTTCTAATGCACAGGAAATAACAACATAGGAAATACCTGTGAAATCATGAAGCTGGGGCAGACTCTCCATGATCACGCCAATCAAGGGCAGGTACAGAGTAGCCACCCTGGCCTTTACCTGTGAGTCAGAGTACCGAGGGTCGGAGTCATGGCTCGACAGCAAGTTGTGTACCATATTGATGACTTTCTTATGTAATCCAAATAAACTGTTAAAATACAGTCAGAAGGATTAACTCATATCTTTGGGGCAAACAAGACTTGGTAAACATGCTCACAGACACATGGTTCAGTTTTGTTTCTTTCAGCTGCAGCTGGTATATGGGAATTCTGTTCACAGTACATTCCTGAACTACACAATCATATCAGATGACAAATGTTTTCAGATTTGTTGAATTCCTTGCCCACAAATCCAAATGCAAACCATGCACCTTTAGATTTTCCAAAGAACTGATAGCTGTTGGTTATGTACACATGAAATTCCTTCCATCAATGTATAGAGATGTGCAGCAGTCTCAGGAAATAAATCCAAGCCTGAGATAATTTGTTATAATAAGGCTAAAAGTGGCACAGGCACTTGTAGAGAGTCTGTTCATACACACAATACAAATTATTCATTAACAAAATTACATGCTGTTCCATGATAGAAGGTTCTCTGAGCTGCTACTTCATATGTATGTTAGTGACACAGTAAGAATTCTGTTTTAGACTCTGTACATACCACATCTGTATGTTTTTGTTGTTTACTTTTCAGGCTATTACTGAATTATACTGTTTTACTGCATAAGGGAAGGTATCAATAAAGCAAGGATAGGTAACTCTGGGTTCACTTCAGGATCTTTTCTGGCCCCCTTGGAGCTGCATGACTGCCTCCACATCACCTGTTTCAGTCAAAAAAAGAAAAAGGCAGCTTGCTGCTAAAATACGGCAATAAATTATTACAGAGCCTCAAAGGGGCTACATTTTACCGCAAAACACCAGCTAAATTTGGCATGCTTGAGTCTCTGTAGTGGTTTACTGCTGCATTTTGGCAGCAAACTGCTCTGCTGCCCAATTTCAGCAGTGCAGGGGCCAGGAGCAGGGGTGGAGGTAGCCATACTCTAGGCCATAAGGAGCCATGTGTAGCCCCTGAACTGTTTGTTCCCTACTCCTACAATAAAGGAACATTTTTATTTGCTTAACCTCTTTCATTAGCAGCATGTTGGATTCTGATACCGGACTAGTGCATTCCATTTTTAATGTAGGAAACAAACAGAGAAGGTCATATATTTCAGAGCAGAAATTTATATCTAGGTCTGTGGCAATTAAACCATACACTGAGTGTGATCCAATAATAGATGGAATGCCATTACAGGGATTTTCCTTTCTATCACTCCCAGAGAAGATGCTAAACAGCCATTTTGGTAGGCAGGATCTGTGGACAGCAATCTAAGCAGATATGAAGAGCTGCTGGCCTTGAGAGGCTCCAGTGTGAACAGCAATGTATTCCATTGTATTTCCTCCACTATCTCATTTGAATGCAATTCTGCAAAGGCAGAATTTCTGCTTGTGGGGCATGAGATCTGCTTTGAATTATTCTATGTAAGAAACAATGTTTAATCTTACCCTTCTGCATCGGGATCTAAAATGACAGCCAGCTCAGTAAGCACCAGTCCTGCCAGGTAGTGCTGCTGGCGGAAAGGCAGGGACAGTTCAAACATGTTGGCAATCTTCTGATCCTGGACATTTGTTGAAAATCCAGAACTCTGTGGAAGAAGCAAACAGCAATCTTTAAGTTTTACTGTTCATATCAGATTACAATGCAGAACCTGCACTGTCTCCAACAGTTCAGGACAGCCATTTTAAAACAGACATACATAGTAGTATGTGCATTCCCTGTTCTCTTTTTGTAATCCTAACTGATCTGCCTGCAGGATCCCGATATCAATGATTTAAATAAAAGACTAAAAGACTAAAGACTTTTATCTGAAGATCTTAAGGTCTCACAACTCTCCTGTCTAACCAGAACAGCCACTGCTCTCTGCTTTGGAATGTTTCCATTAAGTGAAACCAGAATTTGCTCTATTAAATTTTATGTTACAGGTAAATCCTTACACTTTACTTAAATAAAAGTAAATGTATGATATATTTTTATAAATACATTTGCTTCCTATACGCCCACTTTAATGTTTATGAAACCTGCACATTTGGCTATGGCTCCCATTCTTTCCCATCTGGAACTCCACGAACTTGGCAATATTTTGTATATAGTATTTGTGTTGTGCCAACATACATGAGACTTAATTTCTTGCCCTGGGAATGCAGAACTGAAGGAAAGCACAGTCTAGGCTGTGCTAGCAATCAGGAGATCAAGAGCCACTGGGAGGCTTTACCTCTTGCCTCCTAAGGAGATTATCAGGGCAAGAGGAAGACCACCCTTATCCAGTTGAAGCTGCTGCTGCAGTACTTGTTTTCTTCTCTCTGTTTTTCCTGCTGGATCACTGTGAGCCAGCATGCAGGGATGGTCTTACAGTACTCAGGGAACACTGTCTATTCATAAATGTTAACATGATGATAAAATAGTAATAATCATCATCACGCCTGCTACCATCATCAGCATGGAAACCATTATCATCGACAGTAGTAACAATAATTTTAATAATTTTAATTTTTAGGATAGTGTTCCTATACTCTCTCCTTCCCAATAGCTGATTGCAATAGCACACGTCTACAGCAGATGGAAAAAAGGGCACTGCCTCTGAATAGCAGGGATTAGGGTGGATGCTTACTTGGAGTGGTGTTTAATGCATTTTTTGAATGCAATGCTCACAGTTCACACAGATACACACAGTCACACAGACACAGAGCCTGCCCCAGGGAGGAAAACTATTGAAAGTGTAATGCCCTCTTATTTTTTCACAGAAAAGTCCCTGAGATGACTCTGTGACTGCTTCTGCTCTACTATGAATTGTCCAGGAAAGAAAACAGAGATCATGGAATCACTGCAGAGTAGTGGCAAGGATCATTCAACAGAGACAGAGATAGTATTGTCTTTGGATACCTTTCCCTCAGCAAGGTTACATTTCTTCACACTTGTGAGGGATCAAAATGGCTTTTATTTCAAGGGTCAGATACACTCTCTCAGTGTTTCTGAGTCTTGCAATGCAGACCTGTGGAAAACACCAGCAGGTACTGTGCTCACTGCTGTTCAACACAGCGAGCTTTCTGCAGTCAAGTCAGGTGTGTAAGGTGTGAAAATGAGCCTAGAAGACTTCCCTTTCCCCTTGTTGACCAGCACCCATACCAGTTAAAGCTGTTTTGTAAAGGAATCTGCATGCTTATTATGTAAATGACACCAAAGGGCAAACTGTATTCAAAACAGAATAACTCTAAGAAAGGAACTTCATGAGATGCCAGTGCCCACTCAATTATTATACTATAAGCCAAGCAACAGGTTTTCTAACCATCGGATGCTGCCCACCTGAGATGTTGCTGAGGACACTGAAGGTGATGGAGATGCTGGTGGTGTCAGAAGACTGCATGGTAAATTCAGAGTAACATAGTGCTCATGGCTGCAGACAATCCGGAGGAAATCCAGCCTCAAGGACACAAGAGTGTTTGGGTTTGGCAAGGAGTACAGTTTGGATGACACCTTGTATGGGGAGTACAGTTTTAGTTACAGACACACAGTCACTATCACACACACATTGTGAAATAAATTTATCTTCCTGCTAAACAGCAGATATAGGCAGGTAAAAGAGTGCACCTTACATTTGCTGGTCATAAAAATGAGCAATGCACTCAGTCATTTCTAGTTTAGTTGGAAGGTAAGTTGACCCTTTCCCATGCAGCTTCATACCTATATGCTCAAAAAGCTCAAGAACTGCCTTCCTCCCTCAGACTTAGATTTAGCAGACTAAGTCCATTTGCCTTCAGTGATGGATGAACATATGCCTTTGGAAGCTCACAAGTTGGGTGGCAGCAGGCTAGCCTTCCCCAGGAATTTGTCCCCAGACAAATTTTTTTTAGTGGTACAGATCTCTGTTCTCCCCTGAAAGCAAGGTGCAAAACCAGCCTCCAACCAACCACAGCCTATAGCTACTTCACATGAATTTCCCTCTAAAAAGTAATCTTCCTTCCCCTACTTCATCATAGCCTCCAAGGATTCTCCTTGTGACAACACATTCCCACCTAGCAAACCCTCATTTTATCTGGAGTCTTATCACTATACCTGTTTGTAGTAAGCCTTAACAAGGCTAAAGACAAATCCTCTGTCCATGACTGACAACAGATCATTGAGAAAGAATGCTAAACTAGTGTTGAGCCTTTCAATCATTTCCATATCCTATGTTGGGTGAGGGGAGGGGATGAAAGAAAAAGAAGAGAGTGGTGCATTAAAGATGAACACTGAAGTTTCATGCTAAGGCCCCAATTCAACTACTTGTCCCATGTTCGGAAGTTATCTTTCAGCATCAGGGGTTACATTTTGACAACAGTATAGCTGAATTGCTTCCATTACCTTCTGAAAGCGAGAGACTATATCACTGGCAATTGTGCTGACCAAAGCAGCTATGTCATCCATGAAGCGCTCTGGAAAACGATTCTTCCTTGGTGCATCGAGTTTGTCAGCAAAATACAAATGATGTACCATACTTTTCACCTGGAGGAAACATATATTACTAGTTGCAGTCACTTGTCAGAAAAAGGTCAGTTGTGGATAGTGTTGTGATTTGCTGCTTTTCTTTAAACCAAATTTAATGGTTACAACAATTGCTACAGATTCATTCTTTCTGGTGACTGGCTGAACTTTAATCTCCAAAGATATTCAGGGGTTTCATACAGTGGAAAATATCCTGCAACCTCTCCTTTTTCACTGATTTTTGTACATGTGCCTACTGCAAGCTGAGATGCTGCTTTTTCTGAGCTGTTTTCCTTCCCAGCTCTCTTCACTACATTATTCCACTCAATTAAACAGTGAATCGTAAATGTGATACAGTTAGAGCCCAAAACAGCCAACCAGAAGACTTACTCTCTGCCTTCCCACACAGAGGGAGTAAGCAACGAAATCAGCACAGGATCCAGGTCCTGAGGGCACCCGGAGCAAGTTGGCCTCAAAGGAACCCCCCTCTTTAGTGTGCCCCCTCTTCATCCTTATCTCTGTCATTGCTGCCTGTTCACTTTTCGTCTGAGACCAAAATGCATCACTTCCCAGCCAGAGTTTGCTGCTCTATCTCCTAGGCTCTCTGAGTGCTCACACACTTGAAGACAGAGGTAGTAAAGGCAGAGAGAGCAAAGAGGGAGGCCTTGGGTGGGACCACCTCCCTCGGCACTAATGCTGACCTGAAAGAAACCTCTGCAGTGCAGCATACACAGCACTGTCCTACTCCTTTAGCAACACAGGTATCCAACAAACATTCCTGTAGCTTTCCAAGGGCCTTCTAATAAATGAAAACAGTATGTACAAATGCCCTTGGAAAGTTGCCTGCCCCTCTCTCACTATCTTATTTCTAATCCCTATTATTTAGAATTATTCTTTGTGTGCTTCAACTGCTGTCACCTGAAAAATCAGTAAAATTAACAGAAAGCACTGAAAAAAAAGAAAAGAAAAAAGAATTCCATTAGACCATTTTTCTGTTCTCTTACCATAAGCTCGAAGAAGAACCATGCCTGCTGAAGGGCTGCCTCACGGACACTTCCACTGCAAACAACCCACTGTAAGGCTAGTTCTTCATGAAAAAGCTGATCAGATAAATTCAAATTCACATTTGATTGTTAGTTGCATAATCATTCCCCAAAATATAATCCACAAAGATCCCAAACTACAGTGGACACACAGGGAAGGATGGCAGTAAGCAAAACTATGTGTGAAAGCAAGATCAGTGGTAAATGTCCTTTGATGAAATAGTTGTGTAACTAATGTCAGACCACAATGTTGCACTTTATGGGAAAAATGTTTTCACATAACTTTGGTTTGGAATGTTAACCAATTACTTTTTCTTAAAACATACAATGCTTGAATTTGTTGAAAACATTTTGTACTCTTTTCTTAGCAGGGACAAGAAACTGCTTCTAAGGTGCAGTAAATGATAATTTACTTATAGTTAATTTACTATGGATTAGGATTCAGATTTATAATATTTAGAGTAGCCCCGGCTAAATCTGTGTGACATAAGTCAGTCATGACTACTTTAAGCATGATTAAGTTTGACTCTAACCTTGTGTCAGGAGTATCCAACCTGGTACACTCCAGTTTTCTGAACTTCAACTCCCATCAGCCCCAGCCAACATGGCCAAGTGACAGGAATCTTAGGAATCTCAAACATCTGAAGTGTACTGAATTGAGGAAGGCTGCTATGAATTTTCAGTGTGTTGAAAGTGTTGTTTGTTAAAGATTGGTATAAGAAATTGGGGTGAATGGATTATAATTTACTGGACCTTAGAAGTTCTCTGTTCCTGTGTTGAGACCTTCCTTCTTGTCCTTCTTTTCATTGTACCACAAAGGGGCAAAATTCACAGTTAAGCATGCAGGGATAGTTGTCTTTTAAAAATTATTATTAACTGGTTTAATTAAAAAAACAGTGGTTAAATACCATTCAGGGAATGGGTGGGGTGGAGGAAAAGACATGAGAACTGTTAACGCTTGAGTGAAAATTATCCTATCATTTACTTTGACAACATGATCTCTCTCATTCCAATTTTACCAGAGTGCCATGAGATAAAACCACACGGAAATAAAACTATGACACTCTTGTAGCATAAGAACTGGCCCTCAGATGAACTTAGTTTGCACTGTGTCATGTGGGTGGGACAAGTTGCTGAAGCTAAATGCTAGATCCTTAATGTTTGGGAACAATTCTTATTATAAGCAGCCTAGTTCATGTTCTCAAGTCACATGGAACAAAATAGGAAATAAAAGCAGCAAAGTCTGATCCTGCTGGAAGCTCAACAGGATGTCCATCCTTTTCCTGTCTCTCAATGCGAGTTAGGAGAAAGTCCCATCCTTTGAGGTTCCTAGCAAAACAGCGGTTCAGACCCCCTGATGCTCTACTTTCTCTTGAATGAGGGGAAAGTAGCATGACAAGCTCGAAACTTGCTCGCAATGGACCAACAATGCTACCTTAGAGTTCACACTTCTTGTGCATTCACTTAATCTTTGCTCTGTTTTTGAGGGAATCACCAGAAACAAAATGAGAAGAAAAAACTATTTGCATGTCAGTGATCCTTCTGGATCACATCCCGGCTGTTATGTTTATATTCTGATATATGAAAGAATTGAACAACCACAGTTTTAGTTGATTCAATACTCTCAAAATCAGGATGCAAACATGGGCTATGGACTGATGACTGAACAGTTTATAATTACATAACTTCCTTGTGCTGCCACAAAGTATCACGTTGTTTTCACTAAAATCTACCTTTTTAGTTGGTAATCGTCCTGTTAATGTTTGTAAGAAACTTGTCGACTCAGTGTGCGAAGACATGCGATTACAACTTCGATCGGTAGCCTATGAAGTGGAAATGAATGAATGATGACAGCACATTAAAATTTGCTGGGGGTGATACTTGTAACTCATGGACAACACACATCAACAAAATAACAGAAATGCATAGGTCTCAAAATCTTGGCTTTATGTAGGTCTCATCTAGAACAATTTGGGCACAGTAACAAACATATCAACTGTTCATTAAAAATACATAGTGTTTAGAACTTGATGGACATTAAATATAAATTACAACATTTTTGCATAAAGATAGTTAAGGTTGCAAAAGTATGAAGCTGGTCTATAGCAACAATGTATAATTTAAAGTGTAAGTGCCATTCCTCTCAGTGTAACCAAATGTGGGGTTATTGCCCCTAAATTATTATCCAATAATCCTGATGACTACACAGAACTACATAATAAGTTGTTATTGATAATCTTAAATTAGATTTTTATCATCAGCAACTTTGAATTTTTTATTAGGATAATGTTCTTTATAGAAAATATGTGTAATAGAAAAGATTATCTTGAAAAGCTTTGTTTTAAGAGAAAGCTGAGAGGTATGGTAAATTGATTTCATTCACAGGTTTGTATAAAACTGAGTAAATAAAAAATCATGCAGTCTTAAAAAACAAGCAACTTATGTTAACGTGCCCACACATCACACATTTCATACTTTGCAACAAATGTCTGTCTTATATTCTCACCATCCAATTTTAATTGGGCTGGATTTAGACATTTAACCAATTATTGTGCTTGATGTATTGCATTAAACCACTGACATAACAAAGGGAGGATGGATGGATAAGGAAGAAATACATTATGAAAATGACAAAAGTGATTCGTGATTTTTTTTTAAAAAAAACCTTTCAAACCCCTAACAAGAACAACACACACATATAGGATTGGATCCAAATGTGGTCATACTTAGAAGAGACCCACTGAAATCAATAGAACTTTATTTATGAATACTTTGAGCCCTATTGTTTCCATGAGTCTACTCCAACTATGACTAAAGGTACACTCCTATGCATGTTTTGGCAGGAAAAAAGTGCTATAATTCCCAGTTGGCTGGGCAATCCTGGGAGCTGTAGGACTTTTTTCTATTGAAAAATGCATAGTATTAGTGCCCCAAATCTGGTTCTAACCCATAGTTTCTGCAGGGACTTTCTGTACATATTTTCATTGCTCCACACAATGTACACACTTTTATAAAAGGAGAAATGTGAAGAAATAATAAATAAAAAGATTTCTAAAATACAATGTGGGAACAGAGCATGTTGGCAACTGGTGGCTTTTCATGCAGTGTGATGCAGAAGGGTGAAATAAAGGACCACAAACTCTTCAGAAACAGGAAAAAAGCAAGCTAAGGGACAGAGTGTAAATTTAACAGAAGACATTCTGTAAAGGTACTATCAGCCAAGACAAGCAAGAAAGCAAGAAAGCTCTAATATAGACACCACCTGTGTAGTCTCTGCACTTGGACTGGGGTTGGATCCCCATGGGGCAGCTTTTGGAGCACCAGTATTTACCCAGGAATTGGAGCGATCTAAGCCCTGGGCATATAACAGAAAGCAGTAGGGAAAGGAAAGAAAGGTTACATGTTGCATGCCACACAATATAGGAAATGCAGGGAAATTAATTACTTCAAAGATTCCCAGAAGGTACTCAGCAGACACATATCTCCAATTAGTACTGTTAAACAACCGATATTTTAGTTGAAACAGCTATTTCTTTTGTTTCCTCATTACACACATGCTAAAAGGTCACCTGTCCAAGCAACCCTCACACATTTCCAAGGATGTATTCCCCAGGAAACACACAAATCCATATCCTGATATAGATTTAGCTAAATCACTATTTTAAGGATTCCATGGATTCTTATACTCCATGAAGTGCTATAGCCACAGCTTGAACCAAAGATCTCTCAATCAAACATTAGCTGCCAAATAATGAATAAGGGACTCAGGCCTTGGAGGAGAAATTTATAAACCATGAAGTAATATGAAAACGCTTACAGCAGAAATTCACAGTAAATAAACTTCAGGAGTACAGCAAAAAAAAAAAAATAGTCCTCCAAGATCAGCAAGAGCCATTTTGTAGTTGGCTGGTTTCTGACAACACAGTCTTTGTAGCCTGCTGAATAGTCTGTTGCTATTTGCCAATGGAGGTCCTATTACAGCAAAAAAAAAAAAAAAAAAAAGTACTTTTGACCAGCTTTTGGCAATTCCTACCTACTGTATGCCCCATGGTATAACATGCGTTATTTCAAAGGACCCCATGGCCAATGTTTTCAGTTAGGAGGCAATGGACAGCTAGGGAAGAAAGAAACAGGGCGTTCCACCCATGCCAACTTTAGAGCTAACCCGTAATTTTTCTAAAGCAAACTTGGGCATCAGAGGTACAGCAAAGAACATAAAACGGGTTTTAGTAAATGAGATCATTGTAATTTAAGGTAAGATTGAGGATTATCACTAACTTCAGTGTACCCAGTATATTGCCATGCAGTAACATTACTCCTTCCAGTTTATTAAAAAGCAGAATATGTTTCTGTAAGAAAGCTTTTATCCATTTTTATTGCTAAATTACTCAGGCCAGGCAGCTCACATAAAACTTATCATATCCTAGGTAAATTCCATGAGCGCATCACTCCCTCAGGCATTTCACAAAAAGGTCAAGGTGGTTTAATTAAGCAAGACTATCAAATGAATACTTAAATATTCCTACCTCTCCCAGTCAAGGTTTTAAATGTTTAACAAGAACAACACGTGCTCATTTTTAGGGTGAAATTTTTTTAAAAAAAATTAAACAACTATTAAATTTTTGGTCCTTCCATTTTCATTTTGCTCTCTTTTATAAATGGGGAGATGATTTCAAAAATAGAGTGTGTCCCTTGATTTTTTACATAACTGGGTGTGAAGCACTCATAAAATAATGAGTGGCTCATAAAATAATTAGGACTAGAAGGAAGAATTAAAGGTCAGAATTTTACAACAAAGAAGTCTGCTGTTTTGTTTTCACTGTCCTTGTGCAGGTAGGCATCCAGAAGTGCAGGCTGTTTACAACTGAGTATTCCCCTCAGGCACTCTTCTCCCAGACAAATAACATTATGGCATAGGGCATGGGCATGTCCAGTTTGGAACCCAGTGGACTTCTTATTTAGTTATTATTTAGCCGATTAAAAATATTAGGCCCAGTGCAATCTTACCTTACTCCCAATAATTGACCGTACTTCATCATCAGGTGAAGTTGGAGTTCCAGATATATCTGGGTTGCTGTTACTGAGGCTTCTGGAACGATTCAGGTTGAGACTTGCTGGCCTGACAGCTGAACGAGCCATAGTAGCATAATGCACTGATCCTCCTAAACCACCCGGACCTAGGACAATGGTGTATAATATAAAACAGCAGACATATATTTTATCTACTCTAATAACAACTAGTTCAATTTGGTGTTATCTGTCACAACTACTGCAATCTGTCAATCCCTTTATGGTTCATCACCAGTCTCTGTAAGTTATCACGTCTGAAAGATAGGAAGCTCTCTTATACTGAGTCAGGCCCTTGGTCCATCTAGCCCCGTACTGTCAACACAGACTGGTAGCAGCGCTGCAGGGTTTCAGGAAGGAGCATCTTGAAATACGTGGATCTGATTCTTTTGTTTATAAAGTGTGTGTTCTACCATTTGGCAATGGCACCTCTTATAAAGCAAGAATAGGGAATAAATGGCCCTCCAAAAGCTGTTGGACTGCAACTCCTATCATACCTCACACTGATTATGATGCTAGCAAGTGCTGATGAGGACTGCTACTCAAACCATGTGGAAAGGTAATGCATCTCCCACTCCTGTTTTAAAGGAAGCACTTCCACGCAAGTGTTAATTTCTACCAAAAAAGGGGTAGTGAAGTTAAAACTTGCCTGGAAATCATACAGTGCCTTTATCTTGGAATCTCTTCTCCTAAACAAGAAGATGTTTGCTCTTTTTGAGTAGTCAGGGAAAGGCCCTGTGCCTGTGAGCTTGAATATAACACACCACAAATGGAAATGGGTTTTTTCAGCATTTTTCCCCTGCTGTGGCTCTCTATGTCTCACAGTACTGCTTGTGACAGTTGAGAGAACATCATGTAGGTAAGGTAATCATGAAGGGCTGCAGAGAACATAAGGAGTTCTAGTGGGAAAGAAAAATTGCCATAAATTGAAGAACAATTACCCTGTGCAAGCAGCACTCATCTCCAAGGCAACTTCTTTGGGTGATGGGCATATTTGACAATATGTGAAACCATTATGGGCATCCTTACAAAATGGCTGCCATAGCAAAGGGCAAGTCATTGTCCAAACAAATGCAGAGACGGAGTCTGAGCTAGACATATTAAACTATTCCTTTGACCCCACAGCTTTAAGCATCAATACAAACCTATTTCACAGCAATATCAGAAGCTACTATGAAAAATAGTTCATTGAAAAGCAATTAATTTGGTATGAGTAATGCTCCTTGGTGGGTACCGAGAAAGGTGCCCGGGCATCCATTAGTGCCTTTAGGTGCCACATTACCTGCCCCTGCTACATGCATGGCCCATGCGCACTCGCCCCATGACTCTTGATGAACCACAATTGATTAACCCCGGAAGTTATGCCCTTCAGTTGCCATATTTTGATTTAATTGCATTTTTAAAAGGAAAATATACCTGGCAATGGTGAATTGGGAGATGTATTTGGTAAGCGAAATACATAATAAATATATGAAGCGAGGAGATTGTTTCTTCCATGTTGGTCTTGGTTTCCTTCTAAATTTTTGTGCAGTCTATTTACAATAGAAGCCATGGCTTCAAAAGATGCTTGACCCAGATTGACTGCAAAAGAAATAAAATAAAGAGTATGACACCAGGCCAGAGCTGGTAATTTCAGGATAAAGAACAGAGCTTGTTTAAAAAAGAACACTAACATGAAATTCATCTGCACACTATTTTAAATATGTGTGAAATTTGAGACTGAATGGGTACAGTAAGTACTTGAATGATTTCTCTTTCAAAGAATCGGAATAGTATAAATTCCAAGGACTTTTCCACTCCACCAAGGTAGTAGCAATTATACAGATGAGAAGGTCACCATAAAATTTTTAGCTCACTTGCATTTCTATCCATCACTGCTGCTAAGAAATACATAGAACAACTTTGTCTGAAAAGGTCTTGAGATGGATGGACAAGAGTTCCCTGGATCAGAATTGGCTGGATAGAGATTGCTTTGCTCAGGTTGACTTCACAGCAAGAAAAATTATTCACATTACATCAGCAAAGAAAAAATGCTGAACGTATAGCTGGCACAACGCTCCTGAAAGCAACACAAAGACACATGCATGGTGGGAAACTGGATAAGACAAAAGGCTCATTTAGCCTGGCATTCTGCTCCCACAGCAGCCGTACAGATGACTGCCCTTCTGCTTATGTTCCCTGGCTACTGGCATCCAGAAGCCTACACCAGGCTTCTAGACATGGGATTGTACCCAATAGGTTGTATCCAATATTTGTCTTATGTGTCCCATTAATTTCAGTGGGTCTCTTCCAAGGACAACTAACACTGCAGTCAACCCATGATAGCATTGATCACATTGTCAGACCCGTGATGCCCCAAAAGTAAGATGCAAGCAAAGAAAATGTTAATGAATAATTAAAATGTCTACAAATTATACATAACTGCACTATTTTAAAATGTAACTGACTAAATGCAACAGGAAAATTTCCTCCCATGGTTATTAAATATTTTAAAACCCCAAACCTAAATAAAATACCTATTTGGCCTGCAATAATAGGAGGTCTTACAACCAAAAGGATCAGTTTGTCAAGCAGGAGATGGAGAAATCGCACCACAGGCTCCAGCTGAGATGCATTCAAAGCTGAAATGCTGCTCTTTAATTCATTTTCCAAGTTGTTTTCCATAATTCTCATGTCACCTATCCGCACAGGAAACATGTGCTCATCCAGGGCATGCACAAGGGCAAAGAATTTGTCAAGGTAAGGGTCCTACATACACACAAAAAAATCAAACAATATTTACTAAGTTTTGTTAACTTAAGAACATCACTAACATAAATCTCACCCCCCCCCCGCACACACAATCTGAATCTGTATCCAGATCTCTTTGCTGCCTTCCACATGTTAGAGGGATCACTATTTATAAATACCTGTGTATGAATGGTTGACACAGCAATTATTTCTATGTTAAAAACTCCCTTATGATTATCTACCCACTTCATTCCGGGCAGGGGCACCTGATAACAAAACAATAAATAAGAAAACTATGAGTCTCATTACAGTGACAAAGCAGAAAGACACTTGTAGCTAAAATGGTAATTCCAGGTTCTCTTAGTTACGGATAGCAGAAACTTATTCTAAAGTCTCTGCCAAATGATGCAACCTGAATATTGTGGACACGTATTGCTTTAATTGTCCTTCTGAGCCACATTTAAGAAATTACTGACCTCTGGAGAGAGCACAGAATAAGCCTGTGGTGGCTTCTCCAGGGAAACAGGAAGGCAGAACTGACCAGTCTTCAACCGTCCATTCTGGAGCATAGGTATCCACTTAGAGAGGGAAAGGAGGGAGAAAATCTCATTGGTACACATTCAATACAAAGGACATAGTCAATTCATCCAGTGTTAAGGGAGGATCTTACCTGGAGATACAGGCTTAGGAGAACACACTGTGAGACTCTCATGAATTTGGGTTCATAAACTTTGGGCAGGCCAGATAATATTTGTTGATGGATAGCCATATACACTGAGCAATCAAGCCAATCAAATCAAAGCAAAAATGTTTCCCCTTGCTTCTTCTTTTTTTAAAAGAAGGAAAGGAGACGTAAAACCAGAAAATGGAAATAGCAGAAGTGAGAGCAGGGTGATTTCCCCTCACCCTTGCACTTTCCTATCATCCCACATAATATACTTCAGAGGCAAATTTTAGGCAGCACAAAGCACTGCAGCAAGGAGGAGAGAGAAAATCTGACTGAACTAGCAGACTTTTGTTATGGTGCTGTTGAACTTAATCCCATGAAGAGAGAAGCACCAAATTACTACAGAACAGAAAGGTTTGTTCTTATGGAAATAAGATTAGAATAAGCTCAGGTTCCTACTTTTAATTGTAAAATATTAACACTTTTCATTGAATACTGACCTGAAGCTTGCATCTCCTGTCACAATGAGGAAGTGATTTCAACCTCATCATATAATTGTGAGCTCCTAGCAGCATCAAAGAAATTTGTCTCTTGGACAATGCAGAAAATAAATAAATAAATAAATAAATATTACTTTGGCAAAATAACCCCAAAACATCTTAGGAAAGTGACTAAAATGATAAACTGAACAAAACAAACTTTTGTATGCCTCTCCATGGGTTGAAATAGGTGGGGAAATGAAAGTGAAGACATGGGAGATTGTTCGTTTTTTACCGTGTATCCAACAGGAGTCTCCAGCGGAGTGTTTTGTTTTTGTTGGCAACTGACATGATAAAAAGTGAAAAGCAAGTGGTGATGGTCAGTTAATGTGGCAGGGAGCTTAATCTTCATTTCTTCATGAAAGTCAGGCGATCTGTTTTGAGATAAAATATAAATATTTAAATCTGTAAATATAAATCATTTTAAGGGTGAATAGCTTCGCTGCCTGATTTTGCAGAGCTTTGCTATTCTCTAATTGTTAAAGATAAACCTTTTGAGGTAAGAAGCATTAAGAAAAACAGAAATCTTCAAGCAATGAGTAATATCCTATTTGTGATTATCACTTGCATCGCTGCCTATTCAATCAATTTCTCCTATTTTAATCATCATCATTTATTTATTTAATTTACATTGTTCTGCCCATTTATCCAAGGAAATGGGTCTTCCATGGAAGGAAAGGGTTAGAAATGCAAGGCAACCTAGAATTTTAAGCTGACAAGAAGTAATTTAAAGTGTTCATTCAGGCTGTGCACAGACTATGACCCAAAACAAAACAGAACAAAACAAAACAAAACCCTGGTACAGGTTTTATGTAATCACAAGAAATTCTAGACAGCAAAAGAAAGTTTCCTGCATGCCTTACCACTCCATCACTCCCATGGAATGCAGAAGGTTCAAGGTTCAATTCCCATATTTTCTAGTTAAAAGAATTTCTGGTTTACTACACATCAGAGTAGGCAGAGCCTCAAACAGTACATTATGTCACCTAATGTGGATTGGAGATTAACTCAACATCTTTTAAAATCAGAGACGCTATTTTTTTAATGTTTAATTGAACAATTTTTTACCTTTTCAAATTATAAAAGGAGAAGAACTGCCCCCCCCAAAAAAAACCCTTGCTTGTAGACATTAGACCCATCCCTCATATAAAAGATCCTTCAACGGTTGTGGAATCAATTTCTGAGCCAGACAGAGAAGGGACTAGAATACGCAACTGAAATACTACGGCCAGTGAACCTAAGGATAAGCCAGGCAATCACTGGGAATCCAACCATTTTACTGAGCATGCTAATATGTGTGTGTGTGGGGTGGGGGGAAGCAGAGACAGCATAATTAATTTGAAGGTATGGCATCAGGTTAAGGGGGATAACCAGCTGATAAGCATCCAATACTCCAAGTGATTGGCCCTTAAACTGTAGAATCTATTGTTTTATTCTTTTGAAGCTCCATTGGTGAGGGTGTTCCAGGATAGGCTAGTCATGAGCACAGACAGCTGAAGCCAGCGGTCAGACTAGATGGCCTGGGAGATCCCTTCTGACTCATTCTGTTTCTGTGTTTCTATGTTTCTTTTCAGTTTGGAAGGGAGGAGAGGTATTCTATTTGGAATTACTTCTTAACATTAAGCAGCACTTCCTTAATGACTATTTTGCTAAATTTGATTGTTTCTTTTGTTACAGACTTCTGCAATACTCTTCTGTGCTACAAAACAAACTTTGCTGGTCAACTTAAACATAATAAAGCCATTTAGTTATAAAGTCTTTGTTCCTGTCAGCTTGGAAGGACAGGGAGAAGAATATCCAAGACAACGGCCATGACAGTGCTAAACAACAAAAGTACACATTTTTAAAAATAAACAGTACATCACAGAAGGCTACAATAACTCACACCTCAGAGGGCCTTAAGGAGTGTGAAGCACTTGCAAAGCGTATCAGGAGTCTGCCATCACTGAGCCTCGGACTAGTTCTGCCCTTTTCTGTTTGTCCTGTAGTTTGGAGAACCTCGGCAGAGATGGGATAATCCCAAGCTCCCTTCAGTGACAAGGAAGGCTGCAACTGATTTGCAATGATGGGAAAGGCAAACAAAATGATCCCCAGCCCTATTCTCAAGAGTTTTACTTGGAAAATGCTGAAGGGGATTATCCCCAACTTCTTATTGTGTATTTGGAACAACTTTGAAGCTTTCTGCCAGTTCTACTAAAGTCCTGAGTCCTCCTGGCAACCTCATATTTTGGCTGGCCTGACTATCAAACCCAGCCAAAATGTGACTCTCTTTTGCTAAAATATCTGGCATGCAGCGTGTTCTAAGTTGTGTGTCCCTTAAAAGTCAAGACTGCAACAAATCCCTGGAAAGGCCAAATGAAATTTAAAATGGGATTTGGACACTTTAAACCTTAATAGGATTTTAACAGTTTGGCATCAATCCTAAATCACTTTCTCCCTTAAATGTGCTTATTCCCATAATAAATGGCTTGAACATCAAGGCTTACATACAAATGTAGTTATGGGGAAGGCAGTTCCCTATATCTCAACTGATTCAAATTTTGGGAACTGAAATTCAACTATTTCAATTTTTTGACTAAGCTTTGGCTCAAGTGTATTTACAATCTGGCCACAGATTTATCAGCTTAGTGAACTTTTTTGAGGTGGGCAAATCAGGAGTGCTAAATAACTGAATCCATATATTAATTCAGAGACTAAGCAGAACATCAAAACTTGCACGACTATAAGAAGGAGTCCATTTAAGCACTTATCTCAAGGGCAGGTGAGCAGCAGCCCCCAAATAATGGGGCTACAATTACCATAAACCCCTGCCATGTGGCCAATATTCAGGAATCATGGAAATTATAGTCAAAAAAAATCTGGAAGGCACAGAGTTCCCTACACCTTTCCCTTTTCTCAGTACAGACTGTCTCACACTGTGTGTTATAGCCAGCTTTTTTGATACTGGAATTCAATATTTCATGTTCTAAAAGAGCTGGCATTTTCGTTTTGTGATGAAAAAATATATTATGCACATTAGTGCAATATTTACCACTTTACTATAAATATATACTCTTAACAGAAATTATTTTTATGCATTTACACACAGGGCACTATCCAGTATTGTCCATCAAGGAAGAGCAACTCCTGCCAATTCCATTAAAAAAATGAGATTTAGCATTTCCAGAGGCAAACCAAAACAAGCAGGAACTCCTGTTTTTGGAACAAGCCAGGTCAGTGGTGTTTTTTACAGGGGAATTCTGCTGATCTGCTCCAGTCCAGAAATAAGCATTTTCCCTCATTTTGTAGTTTGTCTCTGGAACTCTAAATCCCCACTGCACAAGCTTTGAACACCACTCACAGATGGGCAACAATGGAAACTGTCCAATATGTATAGACATCATACGAGCTTTTAGAAACAAGGCATTTACAGGCCATGTAGCAAAGGCAGAAATGCCATGGAGATATTCATGTTATTTAGTGCAGAGTACCAGTGTCCAAATGTGTTAACATGACATATCCAATGGAAGTTTTAAGTCTATATGCCAAGGTCTGCAAAAACTGTACCACATTTTGCAGCAGTGAATGCAATCAAAAGACCAATTTATGTATTGGTAAGACCTGTGATCCTGACATTTCAAAAGGGCTTAAAAGGACAGCACGGGTCAGCTACATACCATATTTTTCCATCTATAAGATGCCCCCGTGTATAGGACACCTCCCACTTTTCCTACCAATCTCTGAGTGAGCAAGCTGCTGCCGCGCATGCATGCCACCTTGCCACCCCCCCACCCACGGTTCTCCTATTGGCCCCCAATGTATAAGATGCACCTCCCATTTTTATGTAAATGTTTTTAAGAAAAAGTAGCATCTTATACATGGAAAAATGCAGTACTTGTATCATGCATTACATATATGTCCAAAGGTCTGAAATTCACAAAGCCTCCATCACTGTTTCCTTTGGTGTAATCTTAGTTGTATCAAAACACTGAGCATATACAATAGTTATCACTACACTGATATAATCATCTTACTCCTGACTTCACAGAATTATGTACATAATACCATGGGAAATCTAACTAGTTGCTTTTAAGTTACTTTCTTCATCTTACCTGTTATGATAAACAACGGCTGTGTATGCTTCTTTTGAAAATTCAGCACAGCTGGATTTTCCAAAGATTACCTGCAAAATAAACAAAATATAAGCATCTTAAAATTTAGTCCATGTTCTTTGGCAGTTCTACTAACAGCCTTTGCCACTCTTAAGTAATTTTGATGAGGCCTTTGTTTCTATAGTTGTAGTATATATAAATAATAAACACTTCAGTTTTAAGAATGAATTAGAAATTAACTTAGCAGGAAAGACATTTAACTGACAAAAATGAGACTTCATGAGAAAAATTTCATGTGTCTGCATTCTGCAGAACATCATGCAGTGATGACTGTATTTAAGAGCACTGTGCGAACAACACTTCAAATACTATGCAAAAACAGGACTAAAACACATGAAAGATGAACACCCATAGATTGTAGGAAGAGTTTTAAAACCATTCTGACCCTGCCCCATTGGGAAGGAAGTGCCAATACAGAAGTACAGATTTCCAAGGACAGACACACAACACAGTATAAAAGACACACATAAAAGTTGGAACACACAAACATAGCATCCTATCTAAAAGGAACACAAACATGCATGTGCACCGTACCGGCATTGCATTGCTTGGATCCTCTCCAAACATAAACTGAACTTTAACAGTGATATTCCGAGCAGATCCTTGGCGATTGGCAAAGTTAAGGCTTTGAGGATAGACATATAGAATATTTCTGTAAAATAAGAAAGAGGTAAAAACTTACTATATCATGTGCAACTTTAAACTATCTTGGGCAGCAATCATGATTTTTTTATTTGGGTGCAACATGGTACAGTGTTGTATTGCATAAGCCCAAACTCTTTGGTTTCAGACAAGTAAATCCTTTGGATTCAGTCGTAAGTGCACTTGTCCCACTGAACAAAAGGGGCCTTGCTCCCACATAAGCTGAATAGGCTCACTCTGTGGCTACTGACCTGATGACCCCTTTGCTTACTCAATTCACATATACACATACTGAAAGAACTGTTGGAGAACTCTTCTTACATATCTTCTTCATTTCTATGTTCCAGTCAGGTATGCGGTCAGTCACATTCTGCTACACAAGCGACAGCAAAGCAGGCAGTTTACAGTTATCACAAAGCTTGATATGCCTGTTATTTCCTGGTGGAACATAGCTGTCATGAAATTTGAAGCGGTAGCTTAGACTCAATAGAAGATATGTTCTGTTCATGTCAAGCCTTATGCTGGGAGGGGAGGAGAGCATGGTCTATGAGAACATCTTGCATAGCTCTAACTGATATTCTTTCTTTGATGGAACCAGCCATAGCAGGCATCATGGCTCTTCAAGGCACAACAGACTTATTTACCAGATGGCCTTCAGCACTTATATAGTCCAGTATGGCCTTCTTGCAAACGCTTTCTCTGCACCTCTACAGAACAGATGGGGAAACTGACAGTGGCAGCCTGGAGTATCAGTTTGAAGAATGACAAATGGTGCATCTGCAGAGTGCACAAAGAAGCAGCAGTGGAAAAACCTACATATATGAGGAGCCAACCACTGCATACATATGAATGACCCTGGTATTTGGCAAGATACAGGACTTCTGCTTGCATCTGAGCATTCTACCAGTACAAAACTATGAACTGTTAGCATTTTTCTACCTGCTTTTATACATATTTCTGGACTATGAAGTATAAAATTCGTGGATTGTATTGAATGGGCTATACTGGATGTTAGTCTAACTTGCCCATTTGTTTCAAACTACTTTAGAAACAAAGCAAGTCAGAAGGGGTCTCCCAGGCTATCTAGTCTGACGCCTGGCTCCAGCTGGCTCTGCTCACGACATGCCCACCATGGGCATGTCCCGCCTAACCTTGAACACCCTCGCTTCCTCCCGTGGAAGCCCATTCCATAGTCTCAGGGTCCTAACTGTCAGGAAATGCTTCCTGGCATCCAAATTGAACTTTGATTCCCTGAGCATTGATCCATTAGAACGTGTCCTGCCCTCCTCTGCAGGGGAAAACAGGTCTCTACCCACCTCCGTGTGACACCGTGTGACACCCCACACATACTTATATGTCATCAACAGATCCCCTTGGAGTCTCCTGTTCTCCAGGTGAGAAGACCCAGTTCCCTCAGTCTTGTTTCATATGGCTTTCCTTGCAATATGGCCATCATCCTTGTGGCCCTACACTGCACCTGGCTATACCCTTCCTGTAATGTGGAGCCCAGAACTGAACACAATACTCCAGTTGCAGGTGTACCAGAGTTTTTATAAAGTGGCAATAACACATCTCTGGATCTAGAAGCCACGCTTCTAGCTATGCAACAAGGGCAGTGTTTGCCCTCTTGACAACCGCATCACATTGCTGACTCAGGTTTAGCCTGCAGTCAACCAGGACCCCGAGATCCCTTTCACAAGTGTTGCTCTCCAGCCACTTGTCCCCTAGCCTGTACTTATGACACCTATTCCTATGCCCCAAGTGCAAGACCTTGCACTTATCCGCATTGAACACCATCCTGTTGTCCACTGCCCACTTCCATAGTCTCTCCAGGTCCTTCCAGTACTTGTTCCTAGTTGTGGCCACCACCCCCATTTTAGTATCATCTACGAATTTGATCAGTAGATTGGTCACCCCTTCTTCCAGGTCGTTGATTAAAATACTGAACAGGATTGGCCCCAGGACAGAGGTTTGTCTGGCAGGACCTCTTTTTGTGGAAGCCGTGTTGTGTGGCCACCAACTTCCCTTCCCTATCTAGGGTTACTAGATCTCTTGCTATCATGAGCCTTTCCATTGCCTTTCCTACAATGAACGTAAGGCAGACCAGTCTGTAATTCCACATGATTCCTCTACTACCCTTTTTGAAAGTTTGGGCTACTGATGCCACCCTCCAGTCCTCTGGAACCTCACTCATTCTCCTCAAGGCCTCAAAACTGGAGGCCAACAGGCATGAGAGAACCCTCACCAACTCCCAAAGTACTCTCCGGTGTAATCTGTCAGGGCCCGGTGCCTTTGTAACGTCCACCCCATGCCCATTTTCTACGGAGGTTCCTCTTACATCTAATCCCTCTTATCACCTCCTTTCACATCCATGACAAACAAGATCCTTTTCACAAGTGCTGCTCTCCAGCCACTTGTCCCCTAGCCTGTACTTATGACACCTCTATTCCTAAGTGCAAGACCTTTCGCTTATCCACACTGAACACCATCCTGTTGTCCCCCGCCCACTTCCAGTCTATCCAGATCCTTCTGGATTTGGAGTACCTACTCCTCAGTTGTGGGCACTGCCTCCATTTTAGTATCTTCTGCAAATCTGATCAGCAGAATAGTCACCCCCTCTTCCAGGTCATTGATGAAAAGATTGAACAGGATCAGTCCCAGGATAGAGCCCTGGGGAACCCTGCTTGTCACTGGCCACCATCCCAATGATTCCCCACTAATAGTTACCCTTTCAATTGGAATAACATAGGATAAATCCCAGCTTCATAAATTACAAGCAGTGACCAAAAAGGAAACCCAGAATGCACTTCTGTGTCTGTTTTGAAATAAATTTTCAAAGTGTTCTCTGCAAGCAGCAAACTGATTATGCCAGTGATCCACGATCCTGCTGTCTCATGATACCTGTCTATCATAACCTGCCCTTCTCAATCATTTAGATCCAACAGTTCCCATCTTCTGAGAGAGGAAGTCTTCCTGCAGAGAAATATTTCCTTTGGCAAAGGAAGACTCCTTCCACATTAAGAAGCGCCTTCTGTTAGACAAAGGAAAGCATGAATCCAGCCCAAGATGCTTTGGTGGACAGAATGGTGGACTACAGAACCTCATTGTCTTTCTGCCTTCAGTGCAGAGCTGTAAGCTGAAGTCCACAGATAGGTAATCCTTTCTGTTTCAAATGAAGACTTTCATGCTGAATTAAGTGCTGGAATGTCATCCCCACTGGTCACCTTGCTTAATCAATGTTCTCTTTATTATTTCTGTAGGCAGCTGCTGAAGGATTTCCTCTTTTGTGGCACTTCTAAATTACCTCATTCTGGCATGAATACATTTGCTCCTCAATGTGCTTTTTCAAATAAAAATGGATATGAAAATTTACTTTAAAATGTACTTTGCTCATAAAACTTTCATTAAGTATTATTAGCAGCTTAAGAGGGGGATTTAAATGTATTTGCAAAGGCAAGCTATGATCCCGACATTAAGAATAATGGTCTTCAAGGAAGTCATTGGGGGACTGGACATTTTTAAAAGAGCTCCTTCCTTTGTTGTCATTATTTTTTAGAGATTTGGAAGCGGTGGGAAGAGGTTCACTATATTCTAAGTGTTGAATGTTATAGTTATTAACCTTATGAACTGGAGCAGGATTCATACATTCTCTGCGGTGGTGTCCCAACTCCTGAATGCCTTCCTGAAGGAAACATTCCTGGCACTGACTATTTCTCTATTCAGTACTAAATTAAATCATTTTTTTCTCCCTGGCACTTAAACGTAATTACTGATTTCTTAGAAAAGCAGGTTGCTTACCTGTAACTGATGTTCTTCGAGTGGCCACCTGTGCAGTCACACATATGTGTACTGCGCCTGCGCAGTGCCTGTGGCCGGAAGTTTGATAGCTAACAGTTTGGCGGGAAAACTCCGCTCCCTTCCCCGCTAGCAGTATATATAGAGTGGAGTGTCCGCCATTTTCCAGTCTTTGATAGACCGGACGTTCACTCTCTAAGGAACAAAGTGTAACTAAGTAATTAACATTGTTGAACCAACGACAAGAGAAAACATACTGACTCGGTACCGAAGGGAAAATAACACGGTACCAAGAAGCACCACCCATTGACACCGAGCGGGGTCGACAGGTGGGTTGTGTGACTGCACAGATGGCCACTCGAAGAACATCAGTTACAGGTAAGCAACCTGCTTTTCTTCGTCGTGGCCTCTGTGCATCACACATATGGGTAGAGTAACAAGCTTACCCTGACTGGAGGAGGGAGGTGTCATCATCGAAGAATAGCTGAAAGAACGGCTCTGCCAAAGAAACAGTCCTGTCTAGCCTGGACATCCAGCCAGTAATGTTTTGCAAATGTACATGGAGTGGACCAAGTGGCCGCTCTGCAGACATCATCAAGTGGAACTCCCGATGCAAAAGCTGAGGAAGCAGCTACAGCTCTAGTGGAGTGCCCTCTTGGGGTTGTAGGCAAGCCTATCTTAGCCAACTGATAGGAGAGGGTAATGGTGTGTACTATCCATTTAGAGAGTCTCTGAGGGGTAACAGGAAAACCTTGATTCTGTTCAGAGTACTTAACTAAGAGTCTGTTGGAATGTCGAATAGACTCAGTTCTAGATCTATAAAAGGCTAGGCAGCGCTGTACATCGAGTGTATGTAGAGATCTCTCAATCGGATTCGACGGAGATGGAAAAAAGGCAGGTAGAACAATGTCTTAACCCGTATGAAAGGGAGTAACCACTTTTGGAAGAAAGGATGAATCCATTCGCAGAACTACTTTCTCCCTATGAAAATTCAGGTACGGAGGGTCTACCCTGAGGGCGCAGAGCTCGCTAGCTCTCTGAGCCAATGTAATGGCTACAAGGAATGCTGTTTTCCAAGAAAGAAGATGTAAATCAATCGTTGCCAAAGGTTTGAAGGGAGCCCTTGTAAGAGCTTGTAAGACCACTGAAAGACTCCATGCAGGCATAACCGGTCTGACTGTCGGATGAAGGTTATAGAGTCCTCTAAGGAATCAC